CCAAAATTAGGGTTGCAGAGAAGCAGATGATGTCGGGGAGAAGAGATTATCGAAATGACAATTATACCCTCCATTTATAATAATTGAAACACGAACCAAAATGTACTACCCAAGACTAGAACTCATAACAAGCTGCAACATTACAACTGCCCTATCCACTGAACCAAGGAAATTTATTTAACATTTTCCTCTAACTATAATATATATACCTATATGGACGTTATAATAACCACAAAATAAATCTCCTATTATCCTTGCATCATAACTGATTAGGACTTTGTTAAATATTTTATTGGTTTTATCTCAATTTATAATATTTTATTTATTTAATTTTATATATATATATATGCAAACGTTTCCAAAATGTTTCCATTCTTATATTTTTCAAAAATGACGTTTCCCGTTTCCGAAACGTTTCGCTTCCACGTTTCCGTTTCCGTTTCCATGCAGCTTAGATCTTTCCTCACCAAACAGTAAACCCAAATTTAATAGCCGACTTTGATACTATCTTCAACTTCAAATGATAAAATCTCGTTGTGGAAATTTACCTCATTAACTCAATCCCACTAGGCCACTATGATCATGGGGGAACAAGAGAGCAGTTGAACTCCCATGGAGGTGTTAAGCCACTGTCTTGACCAGTATTGGACGTTTCTCCTGGTCTTGATCATGATATAGTTTTGGGTTTCTATACGTTCTTTTATTGATTTTTTTTAGTTGTAAATGAAACAAAAGAAAACCAATAGTCAGTGAAAATAATCTGACTTTACTTGAAATAGTCAACATTGAATTTCATAACTGACACTGCAAAAAGACAACATGTTATGATGAGGTGTCAGGCAAAAGATTTATTTTATTTATTTATTGTTGACCAGTTACTCAATTAATAGCTTGCACTTTCTCCAATTAATTGAGAGAGGCAATTTCATTATTGGGGAGAGCGTATCTGCCAAAACTGAAAGATGCACAGTTGATGCTCTTCCTATAAAGGTCGACGTAATCTACTGAAACAATTTGACAATCTATTAAACTGATAGATTCAGAAGCTCTCTGGACCTGTTTTGTAGACTCTCTCAATATAAAGGTAATTAAGGAGATTGGGCTTTCTCTATTTCTATCTGCTCAAACCAATTTCTTATCTTCTAGTGGCCAGAGAAAAGCATAGTTTCGTGGTGTGTGTTTCTCTTTCAGATCTAATCCCTCCGTCTCTCCTTTGGTAAGCCCTAATTTCTACGCTCTCTAACCTCTCTCGCTCTAGGTTCCGCCACTTTTAGGGTTTTTTTTATCGCTTAAGTTGTTTGGTTTGGAAACTTTGTCTTCACCTCCGTGTGTCTAAATTGTGATAGCTTTTTACGTGTACTTCGTCTTCCGCACCACAATTAATGTATATTCGCTTGTGTTACAGTGTCTGACGCATGGCATAAAAAGCGGTCGGAGAAAGCATCGAGAATTGGGAGAAAATTAGGACTTCTGTCGCAATTTGCTCCTTTGCTCCAACTGTTTTGGAACTGTCACCGACCAAAGCGGCTTCCGGATCTACTGAATCAGATTTTTCATTAATTGACTTGAAAATGTAAGTCAATTTTTATGCTATTTGATTATTGGTTGAAAATAAATTATTTGATTATTGATAGCTAATTTTATGCTATCCAATTAGCGATTTTGAAGGAAACTATATGGTTGCTGTGTGTTTCAGTAGTGGCTGACGCAAGACCTGCGAATTGGTGGGAGAAAGCATTGAGAAAATCATCAGAAACGAAGGAGCTCATATATTAGACCAGTCACAGGCTGTTGTTCGTTCGCCATTCCAACTGTTGTGGATCTGTCGCTGACGAAAAAGGGAATTTTGGATTTACTGAATCGGGGGATTTTAATTGCCTTGAAAATGTAAGTCAAGTTTTATGATATTTAATTATTGTTTTTTTTTTTTTCCGTTTGTTTATCGTAATCAAAACTCTAGCTGAAATATAGATGTTGTTATTCAATTGCCAATTTTGAATAATAAAAAGATTTGAAATTTTTTGTTAAAATACACATCTAAAAATCAAAAATCTATAGAATTTAGGTTGATTTTGTGTTAAAAATACATATCCATATTGGAACTATGTGAATTTATTTTGATTCTAAAATATGTCAAATTCATGTGTATTTGAAAAATTAGCATAACATATGGTTCCCTGGGCATCATGCTATATAGGTTGATGATGAATCTCTTTTCAAAGAAATACTCTCTCTTTTAAATTAGTTGTTGTATTTTAGAGAGAATCGTAATCTTGTGGACGGTTGATTTCATGTATTTTTTTTTTTTTTTTTTTTGGACTCTGGAATTAAATAGTTTTGGTTTTCCTTTTTTTGGCTACTCTTCCGTGCAGTAGAAGGCAATGGAGGAAATGAAGCTAGGAGACGAGATAAAGCTCTGTGGGGTGAAGAGAGAAAATGTCCGCAAAGCAATGGAGAAGGTCAATCCTGAATCCTCAGATGTATTTGTCTTCCATATTCAGGGTTGTGATTTAGAGAACAGTCTGAAGTCAGTGGAAGAGAAGCTAGAGAAGAGGTTCAACGAACTACAGTCCAAGGAAGTAGAGTTTCAAAAGAGAAGCATTGCACTTGAAGAAAGAGCTAAAGTGGTTGAAGCAGCAGAAGCTCAGATGAGTGGCTTGAAGAGGGAAACTGAAGAGAAAAGAGAGGAGCTGAGTGTTGTGAAGAAGCTGGTGGAAGAGTGTATGGTAACGCAAAGCTCAAAGACAAGTCAACTTAATGAGCTGTTGGAAACGTTGAGAAAGACACAGCTTGAGCTTGGTTTGAAAGGACAAGAGCTAGCAGATCTTGAGAGACATCGTGTTGAGGTCAGCGCAGAGAAGGAGCTTTTGGACATGAGTCAAGCTCGCAGGAAGGAACTGGATGAGGAAAATGAGAAAAAGACGAGAGATCTCAATATGGTTCTGGACAAAACTGAGGAGTGTGTGAAGCGGCTTAAGACACGAACCTCGGACCTGATAACGACTCAGGGTGACCTTGAGCTAAAATTGCAACATTTAGCAAAGGTCAAGGCTGATCTTGAGGAGCATCAAGGTGAGCTTAAGGCGGTGATGGAGAATGTTGAACGGAGTCAAACTCGCCATAGAGAACTGGAGGAGGAGATAGATATAAAGGTGAAGGATCTTATAGCAGTTCTTGAAAAGATTGCGGAATGTGAGAAGCTGCTTGAGGCACGGTCCTCGGAACTAACAAAGACTCAAGTTGAGGTTGAGTCGAAGAAAGAAGAGTTGGGAAAGATGAAGACTGATCATGAGAGGCATAAAGCTGAGCTTAGCGCAGAGATGAAGCATCTTGATAAGATTCAAACTCGCAATGGAGAATTGGCTGAGGAAATAAAGAGAAAGAGTAATCATATTCATATGCTTCTTGATCACATCGATGGATGTGGGAAGTTGTTTAAAACACGGTCCTCGGAACTAAAAATGACTCAAAGTGAGCTTAAGTTAAAAGGGGAACAGTTGGAGAAAATGAAGAATGATCACCTCGAGCTTAACGAGCAAGTAGAGAGTAAGAAGAAGGAACTCACGGAGGTTTTGGATAAAATTGCGGAATATGGAAAGTCGCTTGAAGTTTTGGTAAAGCGTCAAGAGTCTCAGCAGAATCTGCTTGATTCCAAAGAGAAAACATTGGAAGCCCTAAGTTTGGATGTTGACTTGAAGGAACGCAAGGTAACATCACTAGTCAACGACCTGGAATCAAAAGCTAAGGAGAAGGAGGAGACTGAAAGGACGATTGAGGAACGTAGAGCACATTTGGAATCCATCAAGAAGTTGATTGCGGAACACACTCAAGAACTCTCTTCTATAGAGAAGAAAGAGAATGAGATAACGGATACTCTTCGTAAACTATCCGTGGAACTTGCCTTCAAAGAGAATACATTCAAAAGAACTAAAGACATCACCGAGACGCTCGCTGAGAAAATGCGTTCAAAAAAGTGGAAGATACAAAAATACACTGAGGATGTTGAGTCAAAGAAAGATGAACTTCACTCTGTGAGTGGCCAACTCAAAGAGTGCCTCCAAACCGTGAGAAGCAAAGAGAGGCATTTAAGTTATCTAGAGTCACTCATCACGGAAAGAAAGAAACAAGTGGAGGAAGGAAAGAAGGAAGTGCAACCTTTGGATAACTCCGACAAGGATCAGCTTATAAAAAAAGAACTCCATGTGAAGCAAGAAGAGGTTTGTTCAATCGACAAGGCCATCATGGAATGCTCAAGTGAATTGGAATCTAAGAGGAAACAACTTGACCAGGTTCAAAGCTTACTTACTGAACTTACTCCTGTGCTCCAGTCAAAAGAAGCTGAGCTTAGTTCTCTGGGTAAGAAGATTGAAGACAGTTGTAAAGAATTGCAATCTAAAGAGCAGCAGCAAGTCAGACTAAAAGTATCACTGTTGGAACGTGAGCAAGAGCTTTCCCAGAAGAAGAAGGAGCTTGATAGTCTGGTGGAGAGGATTGGTGAAAATGATTTGCTACTGAAATCCACAGAAGATTGGTTGTCTAGATGTGTTAAGGATTATGAGGCAAGAGCAAAATTATTGGCCAGCTTTTCTCAACAAAGCAACCCAAATCAACATGTTGCTCTAGGACCTGGTACGTTTTCTCACTTTTAATTTTCCCTCGTCTCTCTTTCTTTCTCATCAAGTAACGCAATCTGAAAAAAAATATGATATGTCTGAGCTATAAAAAATGATATGTTTCCTGATTTGTTTTGTGTGTGTTGTCATTGAAATGATCCTTTAAACCTGATCCCATGTAGTCTAGATAGCTAACTCTGCTACAAGCAAAACAAAACTTTTAGACCTTTGAGAAATACTGTCAAGTTCTATTATAGTCTCTTTTTTTTGGTAACAAGTTATATTATAGTCTTGTGTTGCTGCTTATTCACGTTTTCTTTTTTTCTGGGCGCAGCCAACAATGTACTGTTATTGGATAATAAGCCTGTACAGCAGCCACCGGCTGAGATGCAAAATTCTCTTTCTTGTGTAAAAAGCAACCAAGAAACTTCGAGGTTATGCCAACAAAATGCTGAGAAGAAGAGTGCTAACGATGGTGAATCCAGTGGACAGCAAGATGGGTTTCTTCTGCTTGGGAAGAGAATAAATATCCCAAAGAAACCTCGTAATATACTGATCAGACCGGTGACAGGTAACCAGTGCCATGCTTTAGTGTAGTGAAAATAAACATTTGCTTGATTATGACATCTAATTTTCTGAAAGAATATGAGGGCATATTGTTCTTGGTGTCATTTGATTAAACCTAAACAGTTGAATTATAGAAAAAATGGACTTAACTACACGTAGAAAGGAAATATTCTTGAAAGGTTTATAGTAGCTAGTAATGATTAAGTAAATGAAAGTTTTAATAGCTTGACTATAGCTATATTATTATCCATCGTATAGGTTAAAAACATTGATTTTAAAAATTTGATACTTGTTTTAGAACAAATACTTTTCTTGTTGATTTTAGTTATGTATTTTTTTTTTTGTTATATGATGATGACTTTTATTATTATCGACATTTTTTTTTATTACTAACGAACTGTTTTTTAGGGCAACGTTGGCATGGCTCTGCATGGAACTCAAAGAAACGTGAGAGAGATGATGATGAGTCATTGTCTCAGCCCAGAGGAAAAGGCTCGCTGGCTCGGTTCAATGGTGCTATAAAGACTAATGTTCCATCCATTTGCACAGCATACCGTTTCAACTTTGAAAACCAGAGATCAGCTGACAAATTCGAGATTAATCAAGTATGGGCTATTTACAGCCATGACAAAGGGATGATGCCTAGAAAGTATGTTCAGATCAAGAGAATCGACCCGAGTTCTGGATTCAAGCTACACGTGGCACCTCTAGAGCTGTTTCGTCCCTTAAACATCATGACAACACATCCTGTTTGCGGTGGCCACTTCAAGTTGAAAACCGGTGTAGCAGACGTCCTTGCACATAGCAGCTTCTCGCACCAGGTCAAAGCCGTGAAGATTGCTGCAAACAGATACGAAGTGTATCCAGGAGAAGGTGAGATCTGGGCTCTTTACAAGAACTGGAATGACAAAGATTGTGCTGAGACTGAAGAGTTTGATATTGTGGAAGTTGTTGACACCCTCAAGAAGAGCATTCACGTTGTGCCTTTGACTCCTATAGTGATTGACAAGCTTATCTATGGTAGGAGTCAAGAGACAAAGGCGGGCTTTTCAGACATTCCAAAGACGGAAGCGAGTCGATTCTTCTCGCACCAGATTCCAGAAAGAAGTGCGACCTGGTTTGAAGATGGTAAGCATAAATGGGAGCTTGACCCTAAAGCAGTTTCTTGATCTTAAGATTCTTAACTCCAAAAACCCTTAAAATTTCTTTCTTTTTATTTTCCTTTTTTTTTTTTAATCGCACATATCTTTCTATTTGCGACATAACCTCTGGAATTTGAAACTCCAAGTTATGTAGGAATATCAAGACTGTGCCTTTGTAATAATGTTGTCTCATCATGTACCTGTTTATGTTTTTTGTGTTTATACATTGTTGAACCATAATTCGCAAGAGTTATTTTGGGATATAAAGTTGGGTTTTGGAGAATAATTCTTTTATAATCAATGCAAAGTTCAAAAAGGTACAAGAATCTTCGTTTGTTATTACGCCTAAAACTAAAAGAAAGGAATGCTTAAATGCTTTAACCGGAAATAAAGGTTAAGTTCGGTTTAATTATGGTTGGAACAAAAGCCAGATTAAACTGAATTAAACCGGATAGTCCAAGGTCGTAAATTAGGAGATTGTCGCCAAAGTTGCAGAGACGGCGAGGTTGTGGCCGGAAATGATGAAGAGTGACTTCCTCACATCCACAGCTCAGCTCCATCCTTCAATATTTCTCCCCAAATTACCCTCGAGAAAGTCGAGAATAACGATAAGTTGCTCTTCTTTGCCCGGAGTCCGACCCGACCCGTGGTCACTCAGCGACGGGAACCCGGAGAGACCGAAGCCGAGATTCGAGAGGCCGAAGCACCCGTTATCGGACGACGACGCGAGGCGGATCATAAAGAAGAAGGCGCAGTACCTGAGCACGCTGAGGAGGAACCAAGGCTCACACGCCATGACCCCCAAGTGGATTAAGCGGACCCCTGAGCAGATGGTTCAGTATCTGGAGGACGATCGGAACGGTAAGATGTACGGGAAGCATGTCGTCGCTGCGATTAAGACGGTGAGAGGTTTGTCTCAGAAGAGAGAAGGCGGTGCCGATATGAGACTCGTGATGGGAAGCTTCGTCGCGAAGCTGAGTTTCAGAGACATGTGCGTCGTTTTGAAAGAGCAGAGAGGTTGGAGGCAAGTCAGAGACTTCTTCTCCTGGATGAAATTGCAGGTTCTCTCTCTCTTCTTCCAACATTTGATTTTGCTAATTTCATCTGGATTTTGGCTTGGAATTGAGAAGTATGATTTAGGTTAATTGAATTTCCGGTGATAGATTTTTGTGTCAAACAGTTAAGCTACCGTCCAAGTGTTGTCGTCTACACGATTGTTCTTCGTATATATGGACAAGTAGGGAAGATAAAGCTAGCTGAAGAAACCTTTTTGGAGATGCTTGAAGTTGGATGTGAGCCAGATGCAGTAGCCTGTGGTACAATGTTGTGCACATACGCGAGATGGGGACGGCACAGCGCTATGTTGACGTTCTACAAAGCTGTTCAAGAAAGACGATTAGTGCTCTCTACTTCTGTGTACAACTTCATGCTCTCGTCTCTTCAGAAGAAGTCACTTCATGAGAAAGTGATTGATCTTTGGTTAGAGATGGTGGAGGAAGGTGTGCCACCGACTGAGTTCACGTATACGTTAGTTGTGAGCTCGTACGCCAAACAGGGCTTCAACGAGGATGCGTTGCAGGTTTTTGGTGAGATGAAGAGCTTAGGTTTTGTGCCAGAGGAAGTAACGTACAGTTTGGTTATTGGATTGAGTGTGAAGGCTGGTGATTGGGATCAGGCTGTTGGATTGTATGAGGATATGAGATCTCATGGGATAACTCCGAGTAACTATACTTGTGCGTCTATGTTGAGTTTGTATTACAAGACTGAGAATTATCCGAAAGCGCTTGCTCTCTTTGCAGACATGGAAAGATTTAGAATTCCAGCTGATGAGGTCATCCGCGGATTGATCATCCGAATATATGGGAAGCTTGGACTTTTCCATGATGCACAGACGATATTTGAAGAGACGAAACGTCTGCATATACTGTCTGATGAGAAAACGTATTTGGCAATGTCTCAAGTTCATTTGAATTCGGGGAATGTTGCCAAGGCATTAGATGTGATTGAAATGATGAAGAACAGAGATATTCCGCTTTCGAGATTTGCATATATTGTTATGTTACAGTGTTATGCTAGGATACAGAACGTGGAGTCTGCTGAGGATGCATTTCGAGGTTTATTGAAGAGCGGACTTCCTGATGCCAGTTCTTGTAACGACATGCTCAGTTTGTATGCCAGGCTCAATTTAGGAGAGAAAGCTAAGGTTTTTATCAAGCAGATGATAGCTGATCGAGTGCAGTTTGATATAGAGCTTTACAAGACGGCTATGAGAGTGTATTGCAAGGAGGGAATGGTGGCAGAAGCTCAAGAGCTGGTAGAGAAAATGGGTAGAGAGGCTGTGGTTAAGGACAACAGATTTGTACAAACACTTGCAGAGGCTATGTATATCGAAAGACACAAGCAAGATAAACACGAAGCACTTGTAAACGTTACTCGACCTGATGTCACGGCTCTTGGAATGGTGCTCAACTTGCGACTAAAAGAGGGAAATTTGAATGAGACTAAAGCAATTCTGAGTTTAATGTTCAAGACTGATCTTGGTTCAGCGGCAGTAAATCGAGTCATAAGCAGCTTTGTGAGAGAAGGTAGGAAAAATTAACCTGGTTTTTTGTTCCTTAGATATGAGTGTTTGTTAACGAGTTATGGATGTACTAGTTGAAAATTAACTTATTCTTTTTTATGCAGGTGATATAACTAAAGCAGAAATCCTTGCTGATTTGATCATCGGACTAGGACTCTGCATAGAGGAGGAAACAATCGCGAGTTTGATTGCTGTATATGGGAGGCAACATAAGCTAAAAGAGGCGAAAAGGCTTTACCTTGCAGCAGGAGAATCTAAAACTTTGGGGAAATCTGTTATCAACTCAATGATTGATGCTTATGTCAGATGTGGCTGGCTTGAAGCTGCGCATGGGCTCTTCATGGAGTCATCAGAAAAGGGCCTTGACCCGAGTGCTGTTACCATCAGCATACTTGTGAATGCACTAACAAATCGAGGTATGTCAGATGGAAAATTGCATCTCCTTCCTCCCAAGGAACTTAGAGAAATTTAGGGCCCCAACTGTGGATACTCTAATCTTCTTAAAGCTGAAGATTTGAGCTGAAGATTTTTGAATGGCTTTAAAATTTGAGAATTAATATATAATTGGTCACATTTCAACCAACTACTTGCAGACTTTATTTATAATCGCAATGTTAATTGTTTTCTGAGAACATTGTATTATCATAATCGCAGGGAAACACCGAGAAGCAGAAGATATATCACAGACCTGCCTTGAAAAAAACATGGAGCTTGACACTGTGGGCTATAATACTCTTATCAAGGCAATGCTAGAAGCAGGTAGAACAAATTGTTTCTTTTTATAAGTTACAGTTAAAGTATATGGTGCAGGAACCAACACTCAAATCTCTGTTGTCACAGATAAACTGCAGCGTGCATCTGAAGTTTATGAGCGGATGCGTAACTCAGGCGTTCCTTGTTCGATTCAGACTTACAACACAATGATCAGGTAAATGCATTAGATCTAGCTTCCTTGTGTTTTAGTTTGGTGCAAGTTTGTCGTCGTGTAAATATTTCAGCCATCTTGGTGGGTTGATGCAGTGTATACGGAAGGGGTATGCAGCTGGACAAAGCAATCGATATCTTTGGCAATGCTCGCAGTTCGGGATTGTATCTAGACGAGAAAATATACACAAATATGATTATGCATTATGGCAAGGCCGGTATGTCTTTAATGGAGAAAATTATACATGGAATGGCTATGTAACTTTGATGGTCTGGTTTTGACTCTTGTTAGTAACAGTACCAAATAAAACTTTCTCTTGCTGTTCCAGGAAAGATGAGTGCAGCGTTGGCGTTGTTCAGTGAAATGCAGAGGAAAGGGATCAAACCTGGAACGGTAGGTTTTATGTTTTTGGCCAAAGTGTCTGCAAGATCTATTTAATGGCTAGAATCTGGTGAATACAAATCTAACAAAGGATATTGTTGTTAATGCTGGTGAAAATTTGCAGACTAGTTACAACATGCTGGTGGAAACATGTGCAACTAGAGGACTCCATCGTGAGGTTGACAAACTTTTGCAAGCAATGGAGAGAAATGGCCAGTTAACAGACTCATCCACATACCTCTCCCTGATTCAAGCCTATGCCGAGAGTTCACATTACGCAGAAGCAGAGAAAATGATAACTCTCATGCAAGAGAAAGGCATTCCGCTATCTCAAAGCCATTTCAGTTCGTTGCTCTCTGCTTTTGCCAAAGCTGGAATGATGGATGATGCCGAAAGGATCTACTGTAAGATGTCGGAAGCCGGTATAAACCCAGACAGTGCTTGCAGAGGCACGATCCTAAAGGGATACATGAACTGCGGTGAAGCAGAGAAGGGAATATTGTTCTATGAGAAAACGAGAAGAAACTCTGTGGAAGATGACAGATTTGTTACCAGCGTTGTCAAAGATCTGTATAAAGCTGTAGGTAAAGAAGAATAGTTTCAATAAAAACCCTTTTCATGAATTTAGGCAGATGTTTCAAGATGTGTAAAAAGTAACTGAAACTGATACCCTATTTTCACTACATAAAGAATAAAGCTATTGAGATTTATGATTTGTTTTCTGGAAAGCTTGTCTTGAAGATAATGGGAAAACAATCTCGGAAATGTTCCGGAAGCTTCCTTTATCATACATATTCCGGTTAGCAACGATGGCCTCAGCTTTGGCCTCGGATCTTCTCCAAAGTCCTCTCCATTTACTCTTTCCTGGACGGTCCAGGTCGGTGTTGGTCATGCGACTCATGCCTGCCTTGAGAGAAACAGCACTTGCCTTTGCTTCGCTTATCTTCTTCTGCAAACTTATGTACTCTCTCCACTTGAATTTCTGTCAACACAAACAAACAAAACCGTTAAGGAAGAGACCACAGAGCGATGACTATAAGCCAATATATGATCATTTCTGTATGATCAGTAACAGTGTTTACCTCATTAGTTGTTGTGTTGGTTAAGCAGAGATTGAGGTGGTAGGCAAAGAAACCACCAAGGAGGAGTGATATAAGGGCAAAGAACACAGTTAAAAGTATCTGGGTATTGTATGTACCAATTAGCCACTGTTTCAAAGACAACCACACAAGCCATTAGATTGCTCTCTGGATATGCAACACAAGTGAACAAGATGGAGATTTGTTTAGTTGTTAATTACCTGTAAAACACGTGGAGCTAAGCTGCGGAAAGAATTCTCTATCCCGTAATAGACTGCAGAGACATAATACCGAATTTACAGATTAGCTTGAGATATTAAGAGCTTTAAGATACCATTTGAGGACAACGCCATGGTATGATACTTACAGGTTAAAACATGTACAATGCGAAGTTCTTTTACTCGCCCAGCAAGAATAAACCCAATGGCCATTGTTCCATACAGGCAAAGAAGGAAATGCCTACAAAACACTAAATCCCCATAAGATCAAGATAAAGGAAGAGAAGACATGTAAAGTTAATAGGTTAAGTCTTAGAATGAGAGCTCACCACAGAAGAAAGGCCATGAAATATCTGGTGTTCTTTTCTCCAATACAGTTATTCTGCAACCGATGTCAATCATATTATCAACCAGTACAGTTAGGGAGATTCAAGAAGGAGCTTTTGGGCTGTGTGTACAAACCATCCACCCACAATGATGATCAAACCGAGCAACACAACGGTTGCAGATGCTGCAATGCTTTGATCTAGCTGGTCTGAATGAGAAACAAAACCGTTAAGAGACACCATAAAACCGAACAACTCAAAGCGACATGGTTTTGATGTACTCACTTTGGAATTTTACAGGTTGAACACACTTTCTCAGAGTATATGATATCATCATAAGGGTAAGCAGAAATGTAGTGTGAAACATTCTTATCGTTCACAGTCCCTGGATCACAAAAGCTTGTCAATAGGAACAGCACCACCCCAACAATCACAGCCACAAAGCTCGTATACCTACAATTTAAACAAGAATGTACTAATCATGTAAAGTTTACTGAGTTATGGCCTTTATGGGATTTTAAAGAAGATGAAAAAAGAGAAGCATGGCTTACTTGTGAACGTCGCCGATATAATATCCAGGTATATAGATAAAGGACGATTTCACAGTTACATAGTATGTCGATCCAATAAGCGCCACATATATGATCTGCAACATATTGGACAGTATTTCAGAAAAAGTATTTCCAAAAATCCGAAATTTCATTTCCTCATAGCTCACAGGACTAGTTCAAGGCTAGAAACTCAAAACATTTCACTTGAATTATTATGATTACGAATCAAAATCAAATATTTAGCTTCTGAGATTGCTTTACTAATCAAATATAACCCACACAACACCTCTAGTTGAAGTATCTGCACTGAAACAGACCACTCAACATCAAAGCAAGCAAGTAGAAGAAGAAGAAGTTAGGACTAACTTGCAGGAAAGGATTAGACCGGTAACAGCAGAAATACTCAACCGATAGAATAACGTCCGTACCCTTGGAACCAAACACAAACCCAACAAACCGTCTGCAAGTAAAGCAACAAAGCAAAAATCACGAATCCCTAATCGATAAAAGTTAGTTATTTTACTGTACAAACAAAGAGTAAGAGAAGGAGGAGGAGAGTACAGTAAGTAATCGTAAGCGCCGAAAGTGAGAAAGTAGTGAAGCCATGAAATCGGTGTGCCTTTGAAGATCGGCCATTGGCCGCAGAGGAAGGAAACAACCACCGTTAACGTCACCATCCCGTGACACACCAGAACCCACTGTACCTCCATTTTCCGAGATATCCGAGAAATCTCCGATGGTGGGTTTTGATTGATTTGATGATTCTAAACGGAAAGTTGAGTTCTTTGTTCTTCTCTTGAATTTTACTCTTTTAAAAATTAAAAATTTGCTCCAATTTTTTAGGATTTTGTTTAGTTGGGATAAGATCGGATCAATCGAATCTTCATGATGAAGATTTAAATTTAAAAATGATGGATACGCATTGGATTCACAAGGAAGGAATCTACGCTTATTTAGGAGCACAAGAGAGAGTAAACAACAAAAGCTGTTGACTTTCACTTTTAAAAGCTGTTGACTTTGAAGAGAGTTGATTTATTGGAGAAAATCAGCCTGACAATTTCAACAAGTCAGTCATAAACCTCAAACTCTTTACACCAAAACATCTAAAATGTTAATGATGTTGTCCGAGAAAGACATTGGATTTTCTAGATATCAGAAGGGTCGATAGAATCTTCGATGACTTGGATACAAGAACCAACAGATTCTCCTTTGGACATAGCCTCCGCAAGCTTGGATCGAGCTATCTCATGGCGACGTAATAACAGTATAGTGTTGAGCACTGACCACCTCACTTGCGAGTCTGCTTTCTTTTGTGTGAACCCCAAACTCTTCACCAAACCATCCAACTGTTTCCATCAACACCACCACATAATCATTAAAGCATGTATTTTTCAGAATCAAAAGAGTTTTAAAAGTGGTGAATTAGAAAAGGGACCTTGCTGATATCGTCAAGGCCACCTTCAGCATAACCATAGAGAAGATATTCAGTTGCTACACCAGCAAGAGCAATGCATGAGAATCTGTTCAGCATCTGGTTTTGATAATAGCAAAAGCAAACACTTTTTTTGGTTAGGCTGAGAATTTTTAAAAAGTTTATTAACTTTTTGCTGAGAGGGAGAAGGAAACTTACAGTAGCAGAGACTTTTCCGGAATTAACCTGCAATTTTCAGGTTGAGAACAAAAAAAGGTATTAAAAATGAGTTTTTCTGCTTCTTCAGGGAATGGGAAAGAAGAAAGAGAGGGTTATGTATATACTTCTTCAAGGAACTCATAGTCCACAAAGGCTGAGCCAGCTTGAATATTGAGAGATCCTTCTTTCTGTAAAGCTTCAAGGCTTGAGAGCGTGTATCCACGTGGAAGGATCCCCACCAAGTAGGCCACCAAGAAATGACCTGCTTCGTGCTGCATATAAATGAAATGAAGATGAGAATGTTGCTTTTGAAGTGTTGGTTAATTCTGATAGATTGATGCAGAGTGAAGGAAGAGGCAGGTCTTACTTGAACAACTCTGTTATGGTATCGTTGGCTGAATGTATGACCAATTGTATCAAGAACCAAACTCCCAATTCCTCCATTAAATGAGACCTGTTGCACCATTAAAGACATATGAAGAGACTTTGTGTGTGTGAGAGTGTTTCATCTGAAGTGAGAGCTTTTGAGTTTACCAAGTCCAGAGTCCACAAGAACAAAAACCCAAGAGAAATATAAAAAAGCTGTTGAGAGCTCAAGTCAAAGGCTTTCCAAGCAATTATTCCTCCTGAGACACCAGTGATCTGAAGATTTCTTTCGATAGAACCAAGTGTTGCATCTGTCGGCGAGAGAAGTGAAGCTGCGTTAATGCCATTCAGTTTCAGCTCATCCAACGTGTAGAGTCTCTGAGGCACCTACAGAAACACACAGCCAAAGAAGGACAATTCAAGAAATAGGATCAAGATCTAAGCTAAACCTATCCAGTCATCAAGATTTTATGATTATGACACAAAATATTATTCACATTGAAATTATGAGATTCAATTTCAAAACACAAACCTGCCTTGCGGCTCCAAAGCATCGAAGCCCATCAGGTTTTCCTTGGAGATCTTTGACAAGGGAAAGTGCAGCTCTTTCGTCTCCACTAGACAACTTGGAGTCCACTTGCTCCAACACTTGTCTTCTTCCGGACAAACTAGTTTCAGATGAACCAACTATGCATCTGTGATAGACTAAATACTTTTGTGGGTTTGAACATGCAGATAGTCCCACACTATGAAACAACATAACCATTCAGCAAGCAACGGTTTTTTGTTGGAATTAAAGCTGATCCAGTAAGGGCTTTGCTCAGAAGAAGAATTCATCCCCAAAAAAAAAAACAGAGTTGTAGATTTTTCTTAGCAGCGGCGAATATCAACCACTGGTTCTGGATAAGCAATTTTGGTTGTAAAATCGTTGAAAAATGAAATAAAATTAAAATTTCAGAGTAAATAACCTCGTTTTAGTGAATCAGGTGTTACCACGTCTTTGATTCTTAGTAGTTGCTATGGAACCATTTCAATCATAGAAGAGTGGTGGTGGCACTGAATTTTAAGGTCTGGCGGGAACGTTTCGGAAGTTCGTTACAGTTTAGTTATCACACGACATTGTATGAGAATATTTTAATTTGATTGGGCCATGATAAATTTAAAAGCCCGGTATAAAAATAGCCTTTGTCCAAGTGAACAAATGCTATATACAAGTAGTCTTAGGGTCAGGGATACAAAGTTTCTTTTTGTTTTGTAACATGATTCTAGTAACATCATTATTTCAAAACGAATAAATACTTGAGAGACTAGAAATTTGAGAAAATGTTTTATTAAGAGTAATATATAGAGGAGAATGATATTATCCATGCAAAAGTTTATTATATTTCAAAGATTCATCCCCTCTTATCAATCTTCTGGTATGGAACTATATATGGATGTCCGAATGGACAATGACTCATATAGGGTGACTCGACGCACTTTATTTATTAACGGAATATAGTATGATTTTTTGAAAGTCTGTTTCTATCTATCTAATAAATGAGTTATGTGGATTGAATATGAATGGTTTAACTTTGCATAATACTTGTGGTACCATGCGTTTTATCATTTACAACAAAAGTAAAGTGTAAAACATATATAGTCATCGTTCATATCACATATCTATGGCATCTCGCCTTACCAGTCAGTGTCTCAAGTCTTACAGGAAACAATGGCTAAAAATGCCAGAAATAGCATTGTAGAAAGAGACATGTTCAATCAACTAACGAATGTTATTCGAACAATAGTTTGTAAATGTTACTTAAAATCTAACAATGGCATAAAACTAACTACGATGCTAACAGTTAATTACTTATACTATAGGGATGTAAATAAACAAAGTTAAATCAATAAATATGACAAACAATGGTTTTCCAAAATTTGTAGAATTGGGGTAAAATGATTTTAGAACGATTGAGGAAGAATATGGAGGAAGGATATAAAGCAGGGAAGAAGACAAGGGAGATAAAAGAGGAAAGGGACAGATGAGGTGGTGATATTAAAATCTCGTAAGGACAAACACTCATTATATTCTGAACTATAAAACTATATAATCTAAGAAATTGAGCAGTGGAGGAGAAAAGTACCCCAAAAAAAAAATAAAAGCTGTTTTCCATAGATGTTGACCCCCAAACCCTAATGCTTCCAAATATGAAATATCTTTTATACAGTATTTTGTTTTGGCAGGAGACACTTTTATTCAAAAACCTTGATAAAATAAAGTAATGTTAAAGAGGTATATAATATCAGGGGAAACTACCAACGTTTCAAACAAAAAATTAGGCATGCTGGCCTAAATGGTTTTTTTTTTTTTTTTTTAATTGTCTATATACATATACCCTGGTTTTATGGTTTTGCAATAAAACTAGACAAACTAAAGGAAGTTTGCATATCTTATATATGTTCTGTCGTGTTTATACACTAAAAGGTTTTATTAGATTTATAGATTTGTTTAGGGGTTTTCGTAGCGCAGTCAAGAGAGATCAAAAGTTTAGGGATAAATATTTTAGATGGCAAAAGTTGGGATAATCTAACAATGTTCACAATCCAATAAGAAATCGACAGCAAATTTTTGACATACCGAACATATACGTTTACTGTCCATAAGAATAAGAATAAGAATAAGTTGATTATGTTTGTCATAGTCAATCATAGTAGTACTCTATTACTAAAGCACCTAGATTCCAACACGTAAGATGGAATATGTCGATAGAAATGTATAACTTTTCTGGCAAAAAACAAAAGAAAAAAAAATGTAACACTTTTTTGGCAAAGAGATAATATATGTTCAATGAACCTTATTATACCAGGAAACAAAATAAAACCTATTATACCAAATACTAAAACTCTCGTAATCGCAGAAGTTTCAAAAAAAAAAAAAAAAAAAAACATAAAGAAATACACCATTAGCAAAAAAAGAGAAAAAAATACTAATGATGAACAAAAAACAAAGACAAGGACAGAGTAGTAATTTAGAAGTGGAAAAATGTCGAGGAAACGGATCCCGTTCCAACGTCACGTGCCTTCCGGGGCGATTCCACTCAACCTATTTCTTCTTCTCTTCGTTTTGTCTTTTGTCGTTTTCTGAGATTTTGTTTTTCTTTTTAAATTGCCTTGGAAGTTTTTACTTAAAAAATTAATAAAACCATCATTAAAATAATTTTTTATTTTTTTGCAAAAATATTTCCCAACGAACAACTTCCTACGAAATTAACAATTCTATGGATCTCGAACAAATGCTGTAGAGGTTTATATTATTGTTTTTTTACCTTCAACTACTACAAGTTAAAAAGTTTTATTCTTGTTGAAAAAAAAGAGAGTTAAAAAACAGAATTTATTTGTTTTCCAGAGGCCCACCCAACAGTCGTCACACACTACACCTTCCCCGACGCGTTGGACTTCTTAGCGCAGGTTATAGACTTCTAGTCACGGCCACGCTAAACTACGCCGGTATTCTTATCCACCACCTCTTTAGCCTCAATTTCATTAACCATTGTTGTATTTGTGCTTATGCTCCGTATTAAACAGTTAAACCATTTTGATATGGAGTTTAAAAGCTGGTATCTTTCTATTTCCAGATAAAAACTTAACTCTTCGAGATTCGTTTAGTGATGCGAAATTTCCCTTCTCAGCTGATTTTTTTGTTTCCGAAATTGTGAGGGAAATTTTCGATCTGGGCTTTCCTGTCTCTAAGCTGTTTAATTGGTAATAAAAAAAGGGATTTTAAAAAAAAAAACTCCATGGCTGAGACTGGGAACGATGAAGTTAACCTTATTGAGAGCAAGGTGAGACCTTTTTTTCTTTTGATATTATTGTTTCTCGTTTTCTCTGGATCAACTTGACCTCTGATTTGGTGATTTTGGTGTCAATCCGTGAATTTACTTGGAATTTGCTGATGGGTCTCTTCCGTTTGTTCATGTTCTTATCGGTTATGGCTTTGCTTTTCGTGTTCAAAGTTGGAACCTTAATCCTTGTGGTGTTTTGATTCAATACGTATGTGTTGTTTTTTTATAAAAAAATGAAAGCTTGGAGGATTTTTTCCGTCGTTTGGAGTGATGAAACGTGTCGGTTGCTTGATGGGTCTTTTCTAATTTCGGAGCTTCTTGGCTTTATTTGGCTTTAAATTTTCTCTGATTATCCCTTTGAATGATCCTGGGGAAATCAAAGCTTTTCAGATGCAATCAGTTGATTCTCAAATTTGAGATCATCACCTCGATTTGCCCTTTTGATTTCTGTTATTCCATTTCTTAACCGTTTCTGTGTCAAGTGTACTAATCATCTTTGCTATTAGTTGGAAAAAGACTAAAAACTCTGTTTGTTTGCTTAGACAATAACACTTTTGGAGCTTTCAATCCAGAAATCAAGTTTTCTTGTGTATGTGAATTGTTCCCTTTATAGGGTTTTGTGAAATTTCATTTAGTTAATCTAGAAGAATGCTCTTAAATCTCTCACAGTCCCTTCTTTGATTGCCATCTCCTTTGTGTGATGTTGTTTGTTTCAAAGTGTTCTGATTTATTGGTCTCTCTCTTGTGTTTTCTGGATGCAGACGGTGGTTCCTCTCAACACATGGGTTCTGATATCAAACTTCAAGCTAGCTTACAACCTCCTCCGCCGCCCTGACGGAACCTTTAACCGTCACCTTGCAGAGTTTCTAGACCGGAAAGTCCCTGCAAACGCCATCCCCGTCAACAATGTCTTCTCTTTCGATGTTATCATCGATCGCCAAACGAATCTCCTCAGCCGAGTGTACAGACCAGCTTATGCCAATGCGGACGGTCCACCAAGTGTGACCGAGCTTCAGAACCCTGTTGATGGTGAGATAGTGCCTGTTATTGTCTTCTTCCATGGAGGAAGCTTTGCTCATTCTTCTGCAAACAGTGCTATCTATGATACTTTATGCCGTAGGCTTGTTGGTTTGTGCGGCTCTGTTGTTGTCTCTGTGAACTATCGCCGTGCGCCAGAGAATCGATACCCTTGTGCTTATGATGATGGATGGGCTGCTCTGAATTGGGTCAACACAAGATCTTGGCTTCAGAGCAAGAAAGACTCAAAGGTTCATGTGTTCTTGGCTGGTGATAGCTCTGGGGGTAACATAGCGCATAACGTGGCGGTGAGAGCGGTTGAGTCAGGGATTGATGTTTTGGGGAACATTTTGCTTAACCCTATGTTTGGAGGCTCAGAGAGAACGGAGTCTGAGAAACGTTTTGATGGGAAGTACTTTGTGACGGTCAGAGACCGGGACTGGTATTGGAGAGCGTTCCTCCCTGAGGGTGAAGACAGAGAGCATCCGGCGTGTAGCCCGTTTGGACCGAGAAGCAAAAGCTTAGAAGGGCTGAGTTTCCCCAAGAGTCTTGTCGTTGTGGCTGGTTTAGATTTGATTCAAGATTGGCAACTGAAGTATGCAGAAGGGCTCAAGAGAGCTGGTCAAGAGGTGAAGCTTCTTTACTTGGAGCAAGCCACTATTGGCTTCTACTTATTGCCTAACAACAATCACTTCCATACCGTTATGGACGAGATAGCTGCGTTTGTAAACGCGAAATGCCAATGAAAAACACTTTTTATCTCTCAGTGTAATCTCTTTCACTAACAAACGGGTGAAATCCACCGTGGAAGGTGGGAAGCCTGAGATTCTGGTTTTAGAAGGTCTTTGTAGTGAGCCAAAGTATGGCGTTTAACTACTGCAACAGCGGCGGTGGCGTTTGCGTCTGCTGCGTTTGTGAACCGCGCGAAGCTGGTTTCTGAAAGCAAAGCAGGAAGAAAAACAGTGAAGCCCCGGTTACGTTTGGCTTTTAGCGTTAGCGTTTGACTTTATAACTAAAGCTGAGTTTTTTTCAGCTTGCGGTTGATAGTAACTAGGGTTATGTTACTATTATGATATTTTCCGTAAATATACATACATCATCAATATATAAATATGTTTATATTTTATAAGTTGACAAGTTGTTGTAACTTGTGGTCTTGTGTTTTGCTTCAATCTGCAAGTGTTTTTATTATCTTATTGTGTTGAATAAAAAGATGAGATCTGAGCACTTATATATAGAGATAAAGATATATTTTCTTTCGACATCTCATAACAGAAATCAGAAATGAAGAAATAACATTCAAATTTCAATACTAGATGACTCATATGCACTCACTTGTTGTAGGCGTTATTGCAATGTAATCATTGACAGAGAAAAATAAGATTTGGTGTGCAAGTCTTTTAATTCTTCTTTAAATGTAAAACCAAATTGTCTCTTGGAGGATGAATGTGCATTGCATTTGGACCACCACAATCCACAAGCAAACAAATAAGAAAAAATTGACTCCTCGAAGAATATGCAAATATTGTAATCTTTCTCATGAAAAAGGCATAAAAAGGTTTTTGTTTTTTAATGGGATACATCTTTGCACAATGATGAGAAATAGTTAAATAAGTCTGTGGAACCCAAAAAAAGCAAAAGATACGAATAAGCTAGATTTGTAGTAATAGACAAATATATGGAGTCCACTTTACTAAGACCAGATGCGGAATTGCAACCAAAATAAGAGAAAAGACATGTTGGTTTGGTAAGAGGCTTCAATCTTCTCTACATTATGAAGAATGTGGTTGTTGTTGCCCTCTGATAGATAATTTCTATCAACATGTCTATATATCTCTTTTTCAATTTATAAATCACTGTCTTCACATACCTTACTATTGTATATACAATACACAGAGGAGGAAAGGAAAACCATATTCACACTGGAATTACACATGGTGACAGATATAAAAGCTGGTTTATGTTTTGTATATGAAAGCTAAAATATGATTAACAAGAAATGGTACTCAAGGAATAATCTTGCAGCTAGATACCAAAAGTTGCAACATGTTAAGCTTAAATATATGAAACAAACAAATTTATTAGGCTTTCTAGGAATCAACTACATGTTCAAAGAGAAAAGTAGCAGAATCACAGAGACTAAAGGAAAAAGGTTTACATCATAGTTGGTAAACCAACTACAAAGAAGAGTTATGAGTAAAAAGCTCATAAGATGCTCAATGGTTTAGGTAGAGTTAAACAGCGAAATTAGAAAACCAGAAATACGGGTGATGGGTTGTCTGAGAGTCAAAGGGTAGTACCATCTTCAGGTGTTCACTTAATGGAAGCGGCATAAGCAGCAGAGGCAACCATGAAGAGAGTAGCAACAGATGAAACAAGGGCCCAAAAGTTCTTCTTCTTGTGTGCATCTTCCACCGAGTGCTTCAGTTTCTCTACTTGCTTCTTCATTTCCTCAACCATGTTTTCTTTGCTTTTGAATGCTTCCTTGATCGCTTCTAGATCCACCGAGTAAGAATCCATTCCCTTCTCTCGCTTCTTCTCGCCTTTCTTGTTCTCTAATCCACATAACAGAGAGGACACACTCTTGAGCATTGTTAGACCGCTTTTCGCATTGGTTCTAGCAGATTCTAGTTCTGTTTTCAAAACATCCATAGCTCTTTTGAGCTCCATAATATCCTTCTGAAGGATACACTTTTCCTTCCTCACTGACTCAGAACGATTCTCCAGTTCCTTCTTCTGTTTAGTCAATCTCCCTCGCTCACCCTTAATCGTCTCAAGCTCTTTACCAGTAGCTACAATCATTTTCTCCAGTTCTGCAACTTTGTCCTTGAGAGCCACATGGTTCCTCTTCTCCTCATCAAGAGCCTTCCCAGCATTGTCTCTCTCGGCCTCAACCAGCGCCAGAGCATCCTTAAGCTGAGTAACGTTGCAGCTAAGCTTCTCACTAGTCTTGATTTGCTCATCATAATCCTTTCGCAGCTGCACCGTAACATCCTTTTGCACATCCCCCAGTTTACTCAGCTCAGCAAACTCAGCTTTATGGCTATCAATACGCTTGATAAGCGCAAGCTTGTCGTGCAACAACTGCGTGACAAGATTCTCCTTATCATGGTATTGCATCTCCAGCTGCACCTTAACTGAATTGTTCTCCACTAGTAAACCCTCAAGCTCAGCTTCCTTCATAGATTTCTCCTTCACCAGTGCATTGATCTGCTCCGCCCTTGCTTCTGCTTTCTTCATCGCCTCACCAAGATTCTTCACTAACTCACTAACCTGATCACGTAAAGCGTCCTCTTTCTTTGTCAAATTCTGCACAATCTCATTCAAAGTTCCCAACTTTTCCTCTAACTCCATGATTTTTTCCTTTTGATCACGCTTAACCATCTCCATACCCATCTTTTCATTCACAAGCCCTTTGACTTCTCTCTTCAGCTCATCAATTTCCACAATCTTCTCCTCCAGGGTCTTCTTCAAGCTAGTCCTCTCCTTGTTAACCCTTTCAATCAACTCCTCTCTCTTCTTCCTCTCCTTCACCATTATCTCCTTTTCAGATTTCAAATCACCAACTTCTTCTCCCAAACTCCTCTCTTTCATCTCCATCAGAACCACACTCTCCTTCAGTCGACTCGCCTCCTCACGCTGCAAATCAAACTCACTCCTAATGGAATCCCTCTCATCACAAACCCTACTCAGCTCTTCTCTCTCACTCTCTAGCTTACGCATCAGATCATTAACTTCTCTTTTCAAATCCCTAATCTCACACTCTCTATCACTCTTCTCAACAACCAACCCATCTACCCCAACACTCATCTCCTTGATTCGGCTCTCAACAAAACCCATAAACATATCCATCTCAAGCTTCAGCATGAAATTCTCGTCGCTCGAGCCACGCAGCTCGTCCCGCAGCAGAGTATTCTCCGAGCCGGAGCGAGCCATCTCGGCCTCCAACGCATCCTTCGCCTGGAAGAGGGATTCGATCTGCTGCCTCTTCTCCATGGTCTGCTTGAGGAGAATCGCGTTGAGGGACTTCAGGTTCTGGAACTTCTCCTCCGACGAGTCGTGGTCCTCCATCGAGAACTGACGACTGAGCTCCGCGGGTTTCTGGTAAGTGGCTGGGGCCGTCTGGTTCTGCATTTGTTGCCCATTGGAAGCTCCGTTTGAGTTACGGGACACTTTCTTCTTCGCCATCTTCCGCAAATCTCACAACACTCTGCAAAAAGAACAAAGTGGCGGCTGAGATTTTAGGGTTTAGGAGCTTGGGATTACAACCGTCAGTGTTTTGCTACGGCTCAACGAGAAAGAGACGAGTTTTGGGGGTTGATTTCACAAGATTCAAATGTTGGGGCCCAATTTCGTATTTTTCTGCTATATTTTTTTATTCTGAGTGAGGTAATATTGGATTTCTTTGATATATATAACGGAACCAAGATTTGATACGTTTCTCTTAAAACTTAACATGATGACAATGACATAATTACAATTGGTTAAATTTGGGTGTGTATCAACAATTAGTTAAATTTGGGCATATGTTATAAATTAATACTTTATTGTAGGAAATTGAAAAATAATTATTTATAACAGTTGTTAACTAAAAATAGATAATAATCCAACATATGGCATAATTACTATTAATCAAATTTGGACAAATATCCATAATTGATTATATTTGGACATATATCAAAAATAACTAATTTCGTTTTTTGGATGTGTCCAGAATTTATAGCATATACTATATATGCATATTAATAATAAATTTAATATTTGTCAACTAAAAGTAGATTTGTTTTATAACTTGTGGAGTTTCATCTTTAGCTGAAGAAGCCCAAAAGAAAAGTTGTGACCCATTAGGCCATTACCTGTTAAATCAGGAAACCCAAAGTTGTAGATGATTAAAGTTTTAAAAGGTGAATTGGTAAAGGAAAAAATGAAGTCTGAACCAGCAACAATTGGCTACACATAGAAAATGACCCGTTTCCTACTCCAAAAAATTATATTTATACGTTTAAATACTGGGCATTAACATATAGTAGGTATGATTTGAACATAATAGTATTTATGATTTTAGCGGTCCATTAACTTCTATCAATATGGTCCGTTCACCTATTTTTTTAATACTGTATAAAAGTTTATGAAAACAGTACAAAGATTATGATGTAACAAAATTTGTCGACTCTTATAAAAAACGTTTGATAGGAGTGAGTTTAGTGACGAAGGATAGACTGGCTTTCTAGGATAGGTTTTGAGCCATATGATATATCTAGATAACACTAGTGTGGAGATAAACGGAGCCAATCTACTCCGACTAAACTTTACATACTTTGAAATTTAGCTGCAACAAAAAGACCAAGTTCTTTTCTAACGTTTTCGATGTTTTTCCCAATAAGGACAAAGCCACAGTGGCTCTCACAACCACGAAGTGTTCAACGACCGTGGAAGCGGACACGTTTTAGATGACGTGGATGTGCGAGTAGTTTAAACTGATATATTTACATATTTTCGACTAAACTGTACATATTTTTAAGCTACTCGTACATCCACGTCATCTAAATCGTCTCCGCTTCCACCGTATTTGTAAATAAGTACGATGTATAGATTTAGACGACATGTTTATATATGTAATACAAGATGTTTAGTTCCGTAATTCGTATGATAGAAATCTCATATACATATATAGATATTGGATTGTCATGTCAGTATAAAAGGAGGTAATGTGTCGGGTAAACAAGCGAAGCGAAAGGGAAATGTGTTTTCATTACTTTCACAAAAGGACTCGTTTCATAAATCATGCGACTTTCGTATACCCATCATCTCACGGTACGTATGTTTTATGGTGCCGGGACCATGTTTGTTTAAAGCTAACCCGGTGTTTTTTTCTCTGGCCATGAGACAGAACACAAGGCCCGGCTGGATGAAAACGTTGGCCCTGTGTCCAGCTAAAGAAAAATGACGTGATAGTCACTTTCAAAATGCGTCGTACGGATCAAAACCTAACTAATGGAACCGCTTCAATCATATCTGTCCTCCGAAGTCTTACTTTTGTATTTGTTGTTATTATATAAAGTTGTTAAAAATGCAGTTTCTAAAAATCATATATCACTTTCACATACGCTAAAGACGTGTCATTTTGATTTCCATAAATTTAGTTTGGCTTGACGCCAAAAAACCGGGTTTCACTTAATTAATTCGTACAAATGGAATTTAAATTATATTTTAATGTATTACTAGTAGAGTACCCGCACGTTTGTGCGGTGTGACGTTGTTGTTTTGTGTAGAAAATTTAAACCCTAAATCCGAACCCGACAAAAAACCCTAATCAAAAAATTTAAAAACCCAAACTTTTTTAATAGGTCTAAACATGAAAATCCGAAATCAAAAAAATCCCGAAAACCCTGACTGAACAAAAAAAATCTGGAAACTTTTTCACCCGGAACCCGACCCCAATACCTAATCAAAATTTTAAAATACTCAATTTTTTTAATATATCTAAACCCGAAAACCAGAAATCTAAAAAATCCGGAAAACCCTAAACTGAAAAAAAAAATTGAACCTAACCCGAACAGAAATTTTCAAAGAAACCCGAACAATTTCTATATCTCTATATATATCTCTATAAAATTATGTCTCAGATTTTCACCCAAACCCGAACTTGTCTATAAAAACCCGAAAATCCAAAAAGCATATTCTATTGATTTGGAATTATCGTTAGATTATGTTAAGTTTTTTTTTTTGCAGATTTTTAAGAGATGGAAAACGGAAGTTTTCTAAACCATCGGTTTATTTTAAGTTATTATTCTTGTATCCAAACAATTTTTTCCATTTATTCTTCTATCCAAATAGATTTTTCTCTTATTCTTATATCCAAACAACTTTTGTTTCCATTTATTCTTCTATCCAAATAGATGTTTCTCTAATTCTTGTATCCAAACATTAGAATGTACTTCTCAATTAATAATATAAAGATTGTGAATCAGGATGAGAAATATAAAAAATAACGGAACAAATAGAAACGGTAGGAGAAATATAATATGATATATCTAGCTATGTTAAATTTGATATATTTTCCAAGACCGATCGAGTCAGCGTAGGAGTTAGGTACAACCGTGGAAGACATAGCTTCATGGACTCAATTTCATAGAACATGCACATTGTCCAATTATTACGTTTTATATTTCTTGTTATTTTCTAGAAGATTGATTGATCATTGATCTAAACATGCTAACGTTTATTTGTGACGATTTCTGCTTTTAAAACATGCCTCAACGAAAGAAAACAGAATGTAAAACAAAAACAAAATATATTTTACATGTGTGACGTAACATGATCATATTTCGTGTCATTGTTTTTTTGTTTTTCAATTACATTCAGCTTCATTTATGATATTCTAAGGGATTAATTTCTCTATCGAATTTTCTGTGTGTAATTAACACATATTGAAATCGACCTCATTTTGGATGATTTCTTTATTTTATTATAGAAACATATAACAAAACATAGGATATATTAGTGTGTTATTTCTTTTACTGAATTATAACATTAATTCTACATTTTATAACCGTTGGAAACAAAGTTGATACGTTATTATTAATTTTGATCAATTTTTTTTGTCTAACTATTAATTTTGATTAAATTATCCTACAAATTACACTGCATGGACATTCAAAGCAGTCTTTCTCCATATCATATTGACATATACAAACGTTTTCGTTTTACCAAAAAATAAGTATACAAACGTTTTCCCTCTCCCAACCAAATTACGAAATGGAGGCGGTATTCGCCAGATCTCTACCGGCCGCCGGAAACTTCGCTAACTTCTTGCCGACCGGAACTGCTCTCGTGTTCGAAACCCTAATCCCGTCTTTCTCTAACGGTGGCGTATGCACCAATAAACCCGCCAACAAACTCCTCACAATTTCCCTTATCTCCCTTTGCGCCGCCGCTTGCTTCTTCTCCTCCTTCACCGACTCTTTCGTTGGCGCAGACGGCCACATTTATTACGGAATCGCGACGGCGAATGGTTTCTACATCCTCAACAACTGTCGGGACGGCGGTTATGATCCGGAATCCGGATTAACGGGCGACAAGAAACGGAGATACAAGTTGAGTTTTGTGGATTTCGTGCATGCTTTCGTGTCGGTGGTCGTGTTCTTGGCGTTGGCCGTAGAGAGTTCGGATTTTCGGAAGTGTTTGCTCCCGGAGGACGACGGCGACAATTGGGGTGGTATTATGGTAATTTTGATTAGGTATTTTGGGGTTATGGTGGGGACAGTGGCAAGCTTCTTGTTAGCTGTCTTTCCCACAAAACGGAGAGGCATCGGATGTACGGCTACTGGTAATTAATTAGTGCCCTCGGGTTTATAATTAGTCTGTGTAATAACTTTGAAAGAAAGTGGGATAACGAATTATAAATTTATCTGTTGATTATGTGATTGATAAGTACGTCCGAATCTAGTAATTTCACGTAAATACATCGTGTGATTACCAATTTATAACTTACAACGACCACTCGAGGTCGAGGGATTGTTTCGTTAAAGCAACTGATGTATTATTCAAACTATATAAAATAATTAACAATTTAACTTCCAAATTCGACTCACATAACTCTAATTTGATATCATGAATACTCTTACTACTTGTGCATCAATGCATGAATAGGTTACGCAGTGATCTTTGTACTATCTTCTAATTAATTAAGTATGCTCATCGTTTCTTGTCATCAGTTGTGAGTTGTCCCATATGTATCTGCTCGGTTATGTATCCATTTCGATGCACCAGTGTAGTAAATCGTCTCTTTTTGCTGATGCTAGGAGACTCGTTGACCAGATGGTCTTTACATGATATCGGATTACCACGTGTCTAGAATCAAGATGCAACTGGCCGATTAATACATAAATTTATCACCAACAGTATTATCTAATATGATATTTATTTTGCTATTGCTGATAAATAAGCCATTAGAAACTAGAGAGAAATCAGGCAAAAAAAAAAAAAATCCAATTATTGCTTATTACGGCTTTATCTCTGGACCAGTTCATAATTGGATACAACACAAAGAAAATGACCCAACTCCTCCTACTCCACAAAATTATGTGGTACGTTTAAAGACCCGGCCATCAATATGGTATGATGTGAACGAGAATTATTTTAGCAGATAATTTATTAGCTGCACATTAACTTCTATAAATAAGGTCAGATCACCTATTTTTTGTATATAATATTTTGTAGAAAAAATACAAAGTTATGATGCAACAAAATTTGTTCTTTCTCATTACATATCGTAAAATAAGTGACTAGCGAGAGACAATTATTGATATCACAACCTGGCTTTCTATTTTTAGGGGTTTAGGTACTGGGCATAACGCATAATTTATGATAAATTTCCAGATTTATCCTTATTTGTTTAATAAATTTACAAAATAATTAAATGTTATAATTATGGATAATTTATAAATTTTAATTTGTGTGTTATAAACTTAAACAACACTATATTGAAACAAAGGGAGAAGGGAGCAATAATACTTGCATAATCGCTTTCTATTATATATTCGTCAATCATATCCTATCTTCTATGACGTTTTCAAGAACAAGCAATTTAATGCATCTGTGTTTTACTTTATTTTTGTACAAAAATGTTAAACATCAGTTATATTGATACTGTCATACTCATAAAGTATTGTTTATGTACGTTTCAGTTTTCACTTTTCAGGCATTCGGATACACAAGTTTGTGTACGTGTAGGCATAACTAAACCGTGTCATAGTGGAAGAGCATCAATTCCATGGGTTAGTTTTTTTTTTGTAATTTCGTACGAATGGAGTATTACTCTCGTTACTTTGTCTAGATTCAATGAATCTGCTGGTCAGTAAGTATAGCTGTGTTTACCCACATTTCGAGAAGTGGACGAGTAAAAGAGGATATTTTCAATGTCACAAACATATCATAAGCTCCGTTATTCGATTAAGAGACAAATAATCATGCTCTTAAATTAGGCCTTTTTAACCATAAAGAAAAAAAAATCGGTTCATTTATAGCAAAGAGAAAACATCAAAAAACATGGAGTGATTTACAGTGATTTTTGGAGTTCTCTTTACGTAATAAGCGACTTTTATGAAAGTGGTGCACTTTTTTGGAGTTTGGTGAATAGTAGATTTCAATTTTAACCTTAATAAAAGTGTAGGTGAAAAATTATTTTATTTTCTTCTTTGGTCTTTGTTAATTTCAACTGTACAACTTTTGTTGTTGTTTCCGATGGCGAAACCAAAAACTTAATTTTCATTTGTTCCAATGTTATTTTTTTTCTTGATCGTGTATGATTTGATGTCGAATAAGAAATAGATTAAATGATTTATGGAATTGTTTGTATGAAGGTTTATTTTTCTGGGAAAACACGGATTGAAAAAGTCGTTATCGCAATTTGTTGGAATACCATTTATACGAATTGTTCTTGAACGATTTGTTGGTTTTGCACAGTCTGTGTTTCTTTTGTGGGATGGATTTTGTATATCCACAGTTTGAACATGGATAAATTTAGTTTGGATGATTGTTGGTTTATAGAAAACATCTGTATTAAGCATTTATAACCACGAATATTGTGAATCGAAGGATGTTGATAAACATATATAATGTATAACACACAAGTTTAAATACAATTGTCATCCCTTTTCAAAATCTAAAGCGATTCATAACTTATTGGATGAATAGACAGAATTCCTCATAGACTTGCTTTAATGAAGGGTTTAGAATATTGGAAGCTATGGAAAGACTTGAAAAAGCTTTTATCCAATCTTCAGAACAGAAACATACTCTTCTCACAAAATCAGAAAATTTCTTCCAATTTAAAAATAAACAAAACTAAAACCCCAAAAGAAATTGACAAAAGTTCACTTTTTTTACTCCATCCATATACAAGTGGTGTGGTGGTGGAAGAATGTGAGAGTGATGCAAAAAAAAATTATAGAAAAAGATAAAAAAAATTGTGGCCAAAATAAAAGGTAAGGAAGAAAAATAATAGGGTAACTTTGTTGATTCTATATGCACCATTTTCACAAAATCTATTTTTGTGTAATATTCTTTTCGTTTTAAATTAGTTGTCGTTTTGGCAAAATGTATTTGTAAATATTTGGAAGTATTTGTAATGTAAAACACGTATAGATACATTCAAATATTTACATATGTATTTTTCCAAAACGACAATTTGAAACTAATGGAATAACAAACTAGAAAAGTGTGTCTAAAAGTAATATTCTCCCAAAACATGATTTATTTGCGAAGAAATTTAATGAATAATGCGGGACCAAAACGTGGGTCCGAGAGAGCTTAGCGACATGACTGATGACTTAAAAAATAAAAAATCCAACTAAAAAATTAGTATGATATTTTTAAAATACTCTCACATCCGCGTCAGTTTTGTAATAAAGGCCTAAAGGGTAACCAAATCAATACGTTCGGTGGAGTAAAGAGGAATCTCCTTGAAGCCCATTTCGACAAAACAAAGCACTCTCTCTCCTCTTTTTTTTTTTTTTTTTTTTTTTTTTTCTCTCTAGCTCTCATTACTGTTCCACCGGAAATCTGTATTATCCGTACTGCATGTGTTATGATGATGGTGGTGGAGGAAGAAAAGAGCATAGAGGAAGGGCTTTTACAGCTCAATAACCAAAACGGCGATTCAGATTGTCGTATTACCCTATGTGTTATCCTCAGCACTTTCGTCGCCGTCTGTGGCTCCTTCTCCTTTGGTGTTTCTGTCAGTTTCTTTTCCTCATCATCCTACTTTGCTTTCTTTTCTTTAAAAAATAAAATTGTATACAAAAACAAAAATTTGTTATTACGTTCTAATCTCCTAAAACAGCGTTTATTTGTTTTCATTTTTTTTTCTCTTCTGCAGATTGGTTATACTTCATGTGCAGAGATAGGAATTATGAAGGACATGGATCTTTCCATCGCACAAGTATATCTCTCTTTTATCTTTATCCAAAAGAAAAATATCTCTCTTGTGTTTTTATTTTTTCCATTTTAAAAAAACATATGTCAGTTTTTGTCTCTTACAAAATAATCTAATGATAAATCATTAGTAGCAGCAGATAATACTAGATTCTACTAATTAATGACAAATTATTATTATAACGGTCCCTTGTTATTATTATAACACATTGACATTTTGCAAATAAATATTAGGTTCTTATGTTAGCAACACGAGACATATATGATATATTCCCTTTAATCATTTGAACTGGAATATATCATATATGTCGCGTGTTGCTAACATAAGTTCTACTCCCTCCGTTTCACAATGTATGATGTTTTAGATTTTTTGTTTGTTTCACAATGTATGATATTTTAGAATGTTTAAGGTACTTTTGGTCAATTAATGCTAGTAAACTGCAAATTTCAAGAACTAATTATTACAAGTAGTTGAATTTTTGCACATCTATTGGTTAAAATTTATTAAAAAGTGATTTGTGTAAAAAAACTTTGTATTAATTGTTAAACAATAAATGTTTCTTAAATTGTGTAAAAACTCTAAAACATCATACCTTGTGAAACAGAGGGAGTATATAAGAAAAACATAAATCGTCGCTATCCAAAAGAATTAATGAAGACTATGAAGTTGATTAGTTGGCTGGTGTGGTTGGTTCACCTTCATTTTCACCCTTCTTTATTGTTGTGATCATAAAATTAATATCCCTTCGAAAACACTGTCTGATAACTTTATATGTGGACCTCTCGAAAACATAAATCCTCTCGAAACATTATCAGCTTTTGCAATTTATCTTTCGATTAATTTTTTAATTTTTGTTGCCCCTAGTTTTCAGCGTTTGGCTCATTGTTCACGGTGGGAGCTGCCGTCGGTGCACTGTTCAGCGGTACAATGGCGATTATCCTCGGCAGAAGAGGAGTAAGCTATTAAGCCTCTCTCATTATCCTAAGTACTACTATGTTTTAGTAGGATTTGACAATTATATTTTACCCTTTTTCTAACTAATACTGTCGTGTATATATATATATATATATATATTTTTTTTTTTTTGGTCAACAATACTGTCGTGTATATTTATGTATATTTTTCTATGAATGATATCCAAAGACAATGTGGGTCTCCGATATCCTCTGCATCACTGGTTGGCTATCCATTGCTTTCGCTAAGGTATTGCTAAAATATTTCTAATTAGCACAAACATATTCTATAAATTTATAATGAACCCAACTATTTTTGTTTTTTAATAACTATACTACTAAGTAGTCATGTATGTATCATGTATGTTTGGACTGGAACACAAAAGGATGCGATGTGGCTGAACTTCGGAAGAATCTCCTCAGGGATAGGAATCGGCTTCATTAGCTATGTGGTAATTAACATATCGACATCTTAACTTTTGTTTTTATACATTTATTTACTCCCTCCGTTTCAAATTAGTTGTCGTTTTGGGAAAATGTATCTGCAATTATTTGGATGTATCTGCAATGCAAAACACGTCCAGATACGTCCAAATATTTGCAGATACATTTTACCAAAACGACAACTAATTTGAAACGGAGGGAGTATAATTTTTTATATACATTTAATGAAAAATAATTTTATGCTATTTACCAAACAGGTACCTGTCTATATAGCAGAAATTACGCCAAAACATGTTCGTGGTACATTTACCTTTACAAACCAGGTAATATTTTAGTTGATAATATCTATAAGCATTCCGATTCGAAAAAGAAAAAAAGATGAGCATTAAACAAAACTAAAACGAGAGAAACAAAACTGGCCAGCCAAACTAATATTAAGTTTGGCTGTAACTTGTACAGATTTTCTTACCAATATGGCCAAAATTAAGAAATAGGAACTAGGAAGTATGTGCTAAAACTAAAAGCATATGCTACAACTTTAAAATTAATATCTAGAATAACTTCAAGAAAATTCAGGTTCTACTTGTTAGCTTTCTTGTGAGTATCGACTCTTTTCGATTTTCATGTGACTGGTTATTAGCTTCTTCAAAACGCTGGAATCGCCATGGTTTTTTCTTTTGGGAATTTCATCAATTGGAGGACGATGGCTCTAGTAGGTAAAACTATTGTTTCAGAATCAACGTGGAAGTGATGTTTAAATACGAACGTGGAAATAGAGTATAAGAGTGTACATAGTAGCTAATTATTTTTAGAAAATGTTTTCCCGGTTTAGGTGCTTTACCATGCTTCATTCAAGGAATCGGTTTATTCTTCGTTCCGGAATCCCCAAGATGGCTGGTGGGTTAATTATTTTCTCTTTACAAATCTCGTTACGGAATTTATCGACCATGCACCTAATCTAGTTCAAATTTGAAGGCAAAAGTTGGTATGGATAAAGAACTAGAAAATTCACTGCGGCATCTTAGAGGGAGAGATGCTGATATTTCACGTGAAGCCTCAGAAATTCAAGTGAGTTGTACTATATAGTACCAATTATTAATAATTTTTTATGTATATTCATTCCTTGACAAAAGAAATGGTAAGGTCTGAAGTCTAAATGACTGTTTGTTCTGTTTTCAGGTTATTGCAAAAATGGTAGAAGGTGATTCAAAGTCGAGTTTTTATGATTTGTTCCAGAGAAAGTACAGATACACTCTCGTGGTATACGGTGAAATATATGTTGGAAAATAAGTTACAATTATCTTTCCAGACTACTTCAGTTTCATAAAAGCATTCAACTTTCATTTTATATTTACTCAGGTAGGAGTTGGGCTAATGTTCGTACAACAATTCTCAGGAAGTTCGGCTGTAATCTTTTATGCAAGTACCATTTTTAGAAAAGCTGGTAAGATTAAATTTTATTTGAAGAATGTTAGGAACAACAATATATATATATACACACACACACACACTAACATACAACAATCTATTTGAATTTGCATGGAGTTTTCAGTTTTCATGAAACTCATAACGACCATTGCTCATTACAAACAACATAGGAGGGAACTTTATTATTAACTCAAGAAAAATATTTATAAAAACAAAAAAAACCTAGGAGGAATAAATCTTAATCGTGTATTTACAATTATGTTCTAGTTGATTTAATATTTGTTTTTGTCTAAAACAGGTTTTCCGGTGGCCATTGGATCAACAGTGCTAGGCCTCTTCATGGTAAGCATATAAATTTGTTTTTTTTCTCAACTTCTGTTCTCGACTGTATGTCTATATTGATACCACAGTTACGAAAATAAACTAGCTAGGTACTTTTTAATCCAAAGTTATCCAACTTCTTAACTATTGTGATGTTGGCGTTTTACTTATTTTATTTCTTAGGGTATATAAATTGTGAACACTCTTTTTAGCATTGAATTTTTTTTAATATGGCTATTTGCAGATACCAAAAGCCATGATTGGTCTAGTTCTTGTCGATAAATGGGGCAGACGGCCCCTCTTGTTGGTGAGCACGTTTTCTGTATTATTATTTACTTACTTACACAATCATTGATTTACTTAAGTAGTAGAAATTTTAAGCTGTTACGTTTACTGATTACAATTCGGACATTATATAGACTTCTGCGTCTGGGATGAGCATAACTTGCATGCTTCTTGGGCTCGCCTTCGCACTACAGGTTACAACATTGGTTAAGAAAATAGGATAGTTATTGGTTTGATTTATTCCATTTTCTTAACCAATGTTTTTGTACATGTGATATGAGCAGAAAATGCATCTGCTTTCGGAACTAACTCCAGTATTCACGTTTTTATGCATATTGGTAAAACATTTCGTCTACTTTCACACAGTCTCTCTAAACTCTAATATATATATATATATATATATATATTTTTTTTTTAACTGTCTCTCTTACAAATAAAAACGTAATAAAGAAGTTGATTTTCTTTCTCGCAGCTGTATATTGCAACTTTTGCAATAGGCTTGGGAGCCCTCCCTTGGATAATCATGTCGGAGGTACACATTTGGCTCAAACTGCAGAAAATAGTAATACATTTTTGTTGTTGTGAATCAAGTAAATATTAAACTAATACAGATATGTATGATTTTTGGTGTGTACAGATATTTCCAATGAATATAAAAGTAACAGCAGGGAGTATTGTCACGTTAGCCTCATGGACAAGTAGTTCGGTCGTCACTTACGCTTTCAACTTTCTCTTCGAGTGGAGTACTCAAGGTTTCTTTCTTCTTCTTTATCAGTTTTTCTTTTGTGCTCAGTTAGGTTATAATTTATAAATTATCTACGTAAGAAAAAGGGATAAATTCAAACTAAAAACCAAGGCCAGAAAAAAATTATATGGTTTTCAGAATTTGCATTTAGATGCAAGTTTGGATAAATATATTTATAAGTTGAATTGAATGGACAGATTTCAAATTTAACGTTCATTAATGTAATAGGCACATTTTATATATTCGGGGCTATTGGAGGAGCAGCGCTGCTTTTTATTTGGTTGCTTGTTCCGGAAACAAAAGGATTATCACTTGAAGAGATACAAGTTTCGTTTACTCGTCAGCCCGACGAAATAAATCATACTTAAGGTTTCATTGTTTTACATTTTTTATTTTGAATATATCAAATTTTGAAATTCAAGTTTTTGTTTTTTTTTTGGGGGTGAAATGTGAAGATTATGATTTATGAAATTCAAGTTTATGGTGTAGTGCTCATCTACAGCTTCTGTTCATTCCAAATGTAAAATGTATTTTTTCTTATTGTTTAGATATCATTATTCAAAGAAGATATTGATAGCCTAATGGCCTAATTTATGGAGCATCAGAGAGTATCAACGGTCGACAATTTCTTACGTTCGTAAATAACTGATGAGCAATATATAAGAGATGTAAATCGATGATGTAATGAGATTCAAAAGTGATCATGATTCACTTAGCAGAAATGATATAAAACATAGAGTAATATATAAGAAGAGCTGAGTTATTTTATTGATTGCCAATATATTATTGGAATAATAGGATTTATGTTTCTTCACATTTCTCCAGGGACTCAAAAATCGTAAAGAGCTTTGTCAGGTCTTATAAATAGAATCTACACGAATTATTGCAAAAGAAATTATTAAGCAAGAAGAAGAAACATGAATCAGGATGATTGTGAATCTGTGTGATCCATCACAACTACAGATTTCAATCTCTGGAAACAGGTTTCTTTCATAAGGATCATCGTTACTACACTTCTTAGAATCTTTCCCCATCAATTATTATCCATGCAGCTTCCCAGATAGGTCAAATTTTGCCATGGTCTCAAAAAAATTGTAAAGAGTCTGTCTTTGTCTTATATGTAAATCCTTATGAATTAATACACAAATCTTTAACAAGCAGGAAGAAGAAGAAGTAATAAAGCAGTCAGGATGATTGTGATTGTGAATGTGATTGTGATCCATCTCAATTCAAATAAATGCTATCCAAGACGGCAAAACCGGCCGCAACACCACCTTCATTTGATGACGAGACCTTGGTGCGCATCAGATAACCGCTCTGCTCGTTTATTATGACTCTCTCTTTGTTCCTATAATGCAACAGATAAATTAGAAACTGGATTAATCAAGCATGACAAACTCTTATACTTTCTAGCTACACTGTACCTGAGGTAAGCACCATAGATACCGAGTTCTGATATAGATTGGTCTTTATGGTGAACGCCATCTCGCACCAAGAACATTTCTGATACTTTTGGGAATATCCTCTGCATTAGGATATATGCAGCGTTTTCTTCCTCTCCTTCTTTCTGCAATCTCAGTAGATTTTCCCTCACATCATCTCCATAGATGTTGTTTCCTGTGATAATCCAAGAATATATACGCTCAGAATAAGACAGGAAAAGTAGCAGAAGACTCGGGAGGGGGACTTAGAATGTGTTCCTAACCTCCGCCTTCTCTCTGAGGCTTCATAACGAACAACTCGGGTTTCTCTATAGCTTTCTTGATGATTTCTGGATCGTCCAAGCTCCAAAGCCCGGCAAAGCATTTCCTCAGCTTAGAAATGTCCTCTTTGCTGTCCAAGAACCTGTTTATATTGTGTTTTAAAGTTTTAAATCATCTTCAGTTTCTGCATCTATGAAAGATAAATGGCGATCCCATGTACCTCTCGAGAACACCTGGTTTAGCGAGTTCTTGCTGGATTTTCTTGGTGCCAGTCAAATGATAAGCTATAGACGGGCATTTGACTGCTGAGGACTCCTCTATAAGCAACCTAGCATTCCATTCCTTCAAATCACAATATTACTGATTCAGAACATTCTCAAAGAATCAAGTCACAATGTGAGCAAGCAAGATTGTTACTCACTGATTCAGATGGATAATCATTGGGAGAATAGCCTGATCTGAAATAAACCACTGCAACTGCTTGGCCACCACTGCAACAACCAAAACTCTTTACATACTTTTCATTCAAGAACAACATGTCAATGCTTTTATACAACTACTTACACAGTAAGGGTACCGTCCTCTTGTACACGCCCTTCCTTTTCGACTTCTGCTAAAGTCTTCCTGATGGTTACAATATTGTGCGTGTTCTGAAGCTAAGGAAGAACAACACCTTTTTTCTCCGAGGTACAAAACATAGGATAACAAAAAGTCGAAATGCACAAAAGATATAAAGAGGATATTTTTCTCTGAGTACACTGATCTGCCAATGTTGATCATACATGTTGCGTTCTTCCGGCTGCACAACTACCATGATTACCGCTCTGAAACAAAGAAAAATTCTCTCTTTAAACATCAAATCTTTGTAAAGATTAGGTCTCTGATTGTATCACAGTCACAAAGGGTTTCTTTGGCTAAGGCTGACCTTGGGTTATTGTACTCCAACCAAGCTTTAGCCATGGCATCAGCAAATTGGCTAGTGGATGCATTTTTGGGTACACGTTCAGAGTCTAGCCCAAGCTGATCCCCATAAGATCGAAGCAAGGACCTGCAAACAAGTGGTAATAAGTAAGTAAGAAAGAAACCTTTATAATGCAAACACAATGGAAAAACAGATTATGCAGAAGATGGTGTACTTACTGGTGTAGCTCGCTAACAAGACGACCAAGGCCTGAAAAAGAAGACGAGATAGTGTTCATCTCTATCTGAAGCAGTGATTTCGTTTCTTCGTCAAGCATATAATCTGACCGGTGTAAACCCAAACGTATGTCCTACCATCACCAAACACATCCAAATGAACGAAACTGTTACCAAAAGAATTCAGATTTTAACATGAAATTAGAGATTATATAAACAAAAAGAATACCTCTTTCTTGTTGCTTTCTAGCATCTTGGAGTGGATATCAAGAAGTCTAGATGTAAAGATATCAGCTTTCTTCGTCCTACAACATACAGAATCAATCAAAGGCCATGGCTGGTATTAGATGAGATGTGGCAGATAGATTCTGATGCAAAGATGGAGATTTTTAAGAAAAAGCGAACCTGGAGAGACTGTCCTGTATGAATTTACCATCCAAGCTCACACGATCAACCAATTCATTGAAAATGGGAGCGACTTCACAAGCTTGCTTCCAGTAAGTTTCCGGGAATGGCGTCGGCAGCAATGCAATCGGAGCGTGCGTCATCCCAACCCCTGGAACTTTCCCTGATTTCTGTTAATCAAAATCAAAACCATTCATAAAAACTCAAACTTTCACCTCTCAGTTCTATAAGCGATGAGTATGAGCAGGATGAAATCAGCTACACACGATTCACAGAGATCATCAATTTGAATCATTCTCCAACTTTATCGGAACATACATGATCAAACTCCTTTTAGACTGATTGGGAACATCAAAATGAGTGGCGCAACTAACCTGATAAGCTCTGTCACCGACGACAAGTCCGTGAAGAGAAGACCAGACGAGAGCATCGTAAACCAGCTTCTGAACAAACTCATCGTCAAACTTTTCGACATCGAACATGGGTTTCTGTGATTCCATAGCTAGGGATCTCCCACACCTCAAAGGTGCCTGATTTCTCAGATTTGTAGGGGTCTGGAAGCGGAAGCTTATTGGATTGAGTTTGAGGGAAGAGGAAGAAGAAGAAGAAGAAATAGAGAAAGCAGTGGCAATGCAAGTGGAAGAAGAGTAAGAGAGAGAAGAGCAGCCACTGCCCATTTGCAATCGAAAAGTAAAAGCCTTTGCCGGATCACATCACATTCAGATTATCTCTAAAAGATGTACGTCATACAAAGATCGCTACGACTTGTTTTTTCCTCAAAGAAGAATGTTTTTTTAATATCCGAGATCTCATTCAAATTGTGAAATGAATAAATTGTCTGATTTTAGTTAAAATTAGTATAAAATAAAGTAAAATTAGCATTCAAATTTCTCAATGTCTCTCTTAATTTCGTTCTTTAAATTTGTCAAGGCAGAGCTTCTGTTCTAAGAAGCCTGAAATTGTGAAAAAAAAAAACACACACAAAGAAAATTCAAAGTGCTTTGGTCTCCAACATATATTAAAGAACTAGGTTTTTGGCAACATTTAAAACATCTTTTTATCTGCAGTGGTTAGGTAGGTGAGGCTGCTAGTAGTTGAAACGTGTCTTCTTATCCGTAGGACCTTGTTGTATACAAATTGGATTTGGGGATATAAACTGAGAAGAATAGATTAGAGAAGGAGACAAAAGCAGCAAAACATGACTGTGTTAATGAACTATAAAAACAAAAAATGAGGTTTACAATAGACTGACTATCTTTGCTCTTATGGATGATTTACCTCGTAAAATGGCAAAGAACACAAATTTTTCTATGGATAACATTCAGAGTTAAATTGTAGGAGAAGAAAGCCAATTGAGAATCCTAACTCAGCAAAAAGTCAGAGGACAGTTTGGGTTTTGTTTATTCTTTGTTGGAAATTGAAAGCACTATTTATCCAGCAGAATGTTGCAAAACTTCACAGTTTAATCCGGCCACAGAGCCGCCAGCAAGCTCCTGTGTGGAAAAGAGACTTCTCAAAGACCCATATGTCACGTACAAGCACCTGCAGAAGCAACAAACTTGTCATTCACTTGCAGCTCAGAAAAGTTCTTAAATTTCCAGTATTGGTTATCAGTAAGTTGGATCAGATTTTCATCGATCCAGGCCAAATATTATGTTTAAAGTATTGTCTATAAACAATCAGTGATTCCTCCTGATGCCTATTGCAAATATGAAGAGACAGAAATGATTCAAGTGTACTTTTTACCTCTTTGTTCTTGTCTCCAGATACTACATTGCCTTTCGAATCGTATGCTTCAAATTTCTGAAGATAGAAATGAAATGAAGTCCTCAGTACAGATTCAAGTGCACCTAAAAACAAGCTGATGACTAAAGATAACACTGACCTGCTTTGTCAAAAACTCGAGTGTCAGTTGTATGAACGCTTTCGAAAGGTCCGTCCGATCAATGCCGATCTGAGAAGTTGTCAAAAGGATGAAAAATAAAAATAGGGTGAGCTTAAAAATCCACTAGCCATGACAAAAAATGAAGCTTTGTCAAGAACTTACCAGTCGAGCTTGTAAAGTTTTGATTTTGACGACCGGCTCAATCATTTCCCAGTGAACACCACTCCAAATGGCTTCTCTCTGTTTAATTTCGTTCTTCAATGCCTACATTCAACAGAAACCAAAATTGAACAATAATACTTAACCACTTTCTCTCCAAATTTCAACAACAAAAACTGATAATCAATTCATTGAAAAGCTTACAGAATACATCCTTTCAGTCACGTTCTTCCTTATTAACTTCTTGTCACCATTGGCCATCATAATGTTAATCTGAAGAAAACCAGTGTAGCTAGATTCAAGATGATTTGTAATAAAATTTCACTGTAAAAACCACAACCAAGTGTACAAGTGATAACACCTCTTTGTATAACTCCAGTGCTTCTATGTAGAACTTATTCTTCGAATAACCAGTCTTTCTTAACTTTGCGATAGCGTAGGCGCTTCTTAGCTGAAAATTTAGAGTTTAGACATGTATTAATACGTCTGCGAAATATATACATATCCAGTCTAGATAATCTATGAAGATGAAGATGAAGATGTCTCAACCTCCCGCACAAAATCCTCTTTTGTTCTTCGCCAACCGCTTCTTGTGAAACATCTGCAATTCAAAAACAAAGTAGTTAGATACTTACTTACTAAACTAAATCTTAGCAAGAAAAAGTTTCTCTACTGCATAACTTACCTTCGCCAAATCGAGATTTCTCATGGAGTGCATAGGGTTCGTAAACAAATCCAGGACTTACCATCGACACTCTAACAGCATCCTGCACTCGTAAACAGTGACGTGAGACATCAAACAGTCACAGGAAACAATCTTTTGTTATACAAAAAAGAGCAATTTGAAATTGAGTTACTTAAACACACCGTTTTCTGTAGCTGAGGAGCCTTTACTTGCGTTGCAAGACCTTTTTTCATCGTGAATGGTATAGACTCTGCAATCTAAGAAACAACACAAATCATGTATACGATCAGATCAGATCAGATCAAACAACACCTAATGATGAATCTGGTGATTACCATTGCAGATCGAAGCAAATGCGTGTAGGCGTTGAGGCACTCGTATAAGCGTGAATACACGCTCTTTCCATGAGCGTCAGTTCCTGGAAATGTAAATTTCATTACTAAATTACTCGAAAAGCTTCAGTTCAGAGTTGAATCAATGGAGAAATGGGATCTGGATTCACCAATGAGAATATTACCGTGACAAAGAGAAGAATGTTAGCTCCTCCAACACCCGAACCTGGAATCATCTCCACTCTCAATCCAAGAGAGCTCATTTCCACTCCGAACACTGGAAAACCAAAATTGAATCCTTTTTAGCTTTATTTCGTTACTATCTACTCCAAAATCCAAAATTTCAACAGCCCAAATTCGTAAAATCAAAGCGACAATGGATACTTGTAGAAGTTTTGCTTTTCAATTTTAAACTCAATCATCGGAAGAATATTTAAAGTTAGGAAACTGCTTACGAAAGGAAAGATTCTCTTGATTCAGATGTTCTCAACAGAGAACGAACTGTCTGCAACCTCCTCACGAGCGCCATTATCGATCAGTGTGAAGCAATATCAAAGAAAAGCCCTAGTTTTCACTTTCATTCATCTCAAATTCCATCAGAGGATCTCTGTGTCTCTGTTCGACTCCGATCGACAGGGTTTAAGGCGGATAAGATTCACTACATCGCGGTGCACCGTATCTCAGTGTAACTTAACTCCGGAAACGCAGACGTTTCAAGCGTTTGGCTAAAACATCAACAACACAACCGCGGAAAAAAAAAAGAGTTTGATGATGACCAAACGCATACAAACGTAAACGCAAACGGGCAAAATCGCTTTGTAGATATTTAGCGTTTCAAATAATTTTTATTTCCTTTGTTCGTTACCATTACACAGTAGTACAACAATAATGAACATCACATTGCACCAAAGGCCAAAAAAACAGAGAACGTAAAGCGTCTCAAAACAGTTATCCCATTTGGTTTGTTTGTTCTTAGCTCAGCATATCTGGATGGACTAAGGAGCGTTTCTTTCACGTTTTCTGTTAGAAGAAGATGATGCTTTTTGATTATTGGACCGTCAGAGAAATGGCAGCAGATCGAAGCTTCAATTCATCTTCTTTCCATTTGGATTCCGGTGCAGCTGCTCCAGCGATGAAAACCTTCTCAAGAATAAGAACAAAACAGAAACGAAACTAATCAATTCAATGAGACATGAATCTGGAAGAATGGAATGGCAAAGAGTAATCTGAGTTTGCAGCAGAGACCCTTCCTCTGTTACAAGCGGCTACTAGAGCTATGCGTTCTTCATCTCTCCCAAACTCATAGAGGTAGTAATTTCTGCACACAAGAAACTCGACTTCACAAACAGAAGTTTCTTTGGATATTCGCCAATCAAGAATACAAAGCCCCAAACGGATGAGAGTAAAGTTAGAAGCAGACTTGCCTGAAACCTTCTTCTTCTTTTACCTTGATTGTACGAGCAGAGTAAATCGTTGCCGCACCTGATTGTGGTTAAAGAATTTAACAATGACCCAGAACCAAATAGGCAAGACGAATGAACAAAAATGAAAGATTGTAAGCTATTTTCAAATACAATGTATATGATTTAGAGAACCTGGAACAAAGATTCTTGCAGCTTCCTTCAATGATCCCAATTGGGATATATCGTTAGCCTATTTGAAATCAGAGAGCATTTGATGAGCTTACTCTAGACAATTAAACTTCTCAGATAGCGAAAATGTAAAACTTGTAACAGGAAATGTTTTTGTTGTGCAAACCTCTAAGAAAGTGATCTTAAGTGAATTTGAAGGGCGAATGACTACGCTCAAAACTTCTGATCTGCATGATTTGTCAATTGTCACACAAGTTTTCTAATGGCAACTTAGAACAGAATCTAACGGAATACGAGGGAAGAGGGACAACGATACCCATCAGGAGATTGGAAACGGGCGGCGAAAGTCTTCGGCTTTGCCTTGTCCCCGTAAAGAGACAATCCTGCAGAGTAATCCTAGAGCATGAGGGTAACACACGACGTCAAGAACAATGATCATTTCATCCAAAAAATCAGTTTTTGAATTCAACTTTTAGTACAAATAATAGTTAGGATTCTACTTCGTAACAATAACTCTTCAATTTGGCTAGAAAAACCATTGAATTAGAACCAACTTGGCAGCTCAGTAAGTTTTCTCACAGACTGATGAATCACAGAGTACCAAATGAAAAGTTAAATTTCCACCAGAAACCATAATTTGTCCTTGAATTCCACCATGTCAACTATTATTCATCTAAAAACCTCGCAAGTCTACAACTTTCACCAAATTAGCAGTCTTTGCATCATTTATCATCCAATTTCGTACCGAGTAAGAGACTAAACGGAACTACACTCATGAATTTGCAATCAAAGAGACGCACCTCAGGCTCCATGATGTCTTCAAACTGAGGAGGAACCCTGATGGCGAACCCATCGCCATAGAACTGGAACCAATTCTTAGTGTTGGCAATGCCGAGTCTTGGTTTGGGAGACTTCGAAGGATCGGCTAATGACACTTGAAGTTGGTTTTGAAAGACGAAGGAGACGAAGGAGAGAGATGCTGTTCTAAGCACCACATCTCTCCTAAAGGTAGGATTTTTTGGAGCTGCAGAAGGTTCGGAAGAAGAGAGAATCTTAAATCTATTAGGATTTTGAGGTTTAGGGATTGGTGGATGAAGAGAGAGGGAGGGAAGTAGAATGGCCATGAGGAGAGGAAGAAGAAGATAGAAGCACAGACTTCATGGCTTGTAACGGATAAGAAGAAATCTGGAAATTAGCTGAAGGTAACAAGGAAGACAAAGGTGCAAGGTGAAGGGTATTTTGGTAGTTTCGAGGCTTTTAAGGCTAATCTAGTCATTTTACAATTTTTAGGCTTTTGATATGGCTAGCGATTCCTCCGAGCTTCTTTGACACAGTGAAATCATGGCGGCGAGCGAGTACTCAACAGGACTGGAATCGGTGGAGGCGGAGTCACAGTACCTTCATGTTCTCTCTGCTTTCCTCGCCATGGAACCGGTCGATTCCGTCATCTCTCTCGCGAGGTATGCACTACAATATAGCTCCGACGTCTCCGCCGTGAGCTTCTCTGTTCCGGCGTTTAATTTTTTTTTCTTCTGCATGTTCTTGTTGTGTAGAGGGTGTACCGGAGGATCAATTACTGATAATGTTCAGAGATTTCTCTGGGAAATTTGCGTAAAATCTGTAAGTAAAATTCTGCTCTGGTCGCAATAGTAAAAAAAAAATGTGGAAGCTTTATGTTCACTCATTTGGGATTTGTTAGTGTGTGATTTGCAATTTTACAGTAGAATCCTTTCGTTGGTGCGTGCAGGCTGTGAATGGGAACGCATCATACGCGAAAAAGCTACTAAAGAGACTCATAAATGAAGTTGAGTTGGAGAATGGTGAAGTATTGGATGAAGTGTACGAAGAGTATGCTCTTCACATGTCTGCGCCTTCTAAGGTTTACTTCTTCTTCTTCTTCTTTTGGTTATTGAAGTTTCCTTGTTTTTTTGTAACTGATTGAAAAGAAAACTAAGTATGGTTTGGGTGTTTAGGAAAATATATTGGTGAAAGACAACATAAGGATCACAAAATTCATCTCTTTTCTTTTCCCGGATGGTAAAAATCTTTACTTTGCTGTGTATTGTTGTTCATTGGTCATTGAATGTTTCATATCGAAGTGGTTTTTTCCTTTTACTAGGTTCGTACGAACACCCGAGTTGTCCAAAGTCAGGGAAACTAGTTATTCCGATGCGATGTTCGTTGAACATGTTTGAAGGAGATACCGGGTATGAGTCTTTTTATATGATCATTTCAATGCACTCAAGTCTCCTTCTACATTGCTCACCTTGGTTTCAATCAGGTGTTCCATCTGGCCATCAAGTCTGTTTCTGTCAGAGTTTGTTCTGTCATATCCGGACTTATTCGCCAATAAATCCTGTTTTGAGGTTAGCTTGACGTCATGAAGTTTATTCACCAATGAGGTTCACGTTCTGATCCATTATGTTTTATTTTTTTGCTTCGATGGAGTGCCCTGTTTAGGTTGGTTCTGGAGCTGGCTTGGTGGGAATTTGTCTTGCTCATGTAAAGGCCAAGAAGGTATCCTTAGTTGCTTATTACCAAACTTTCTCATCATAATAACAAAAAGATATGTTGTTGAGTGACTTGAGTCAATAATGTTTTCTTGCGCAGGTGATACTAACAGATGGAGATCTTTTAACTCTAACGAACATGAAGCTTAACTTGGAGAGGAATCGTTTAAACTATGATGATGAGTTGCTCAAAGAACCAGGAGAGGCTCAGAGTACAGTGAGTATTAAATAGTTTCTTTGTTCTTTGTGATTCATAGTATATAACCGATTCTTTTTCCTGTAACAGCGAGTTAAATGCATTCATCTTCCGTGGGAAACTGCATCAGAAAGTAAACTGAGCAAATACCGTCCAGATATCATGTGAGTAAACCAAGAATCATTTTGATATACAAAATGTTGCTTATGTCAGTGTCACTAACTAACCCCTTGACGTTCTTATCAGTCTAGGCGCAGATGTAATCTATGATCTGTCATGTCTACCTCATCTTCTTCGTGTTCTGGTAGCACTGTTAAGGAGGCCAGCCAAAAGAGAGAGTGGCTCTCTCGAGACTGAAGACAGAGACACGGCACAGGATGGTCGGAGCAGTCCCGTGGTGGCGTATATCGCGTCAGTGATCCGCAATGCAGACACTTTCAATGCGTTCTTGGTACTTGTGGATCAAATGGACCTTTCCATCACAGACTTGACTGGAGAACTTAAGCCTCCCTTGGAGCTTTTACCGTATATGCATTCGTATGACCGCTCAAGCATCCGTCTCTTCTCCATTTCCCCCAGATAATAATGTGTGTCTATCAGAAGCAGTTTAGGTTTCAAACACTTTCTGTTTGCGTTTTCTTTTCCATTTCCTTTCCATGAGAGAGAGAGACCGACCCTCGAATCACCATTTGTTCTGTGGCAAAGTCCAATCACCATTTGTTCTTGAATAAAAGAATGAACTTTCGTCGGAGTCATTGTTAAACTTTAATTAGTACGTTGAATTAAAGGAGCTCTCATTTAACTAATTTTGCCCTTCATCCATCATTGGTTTTTAACTTTTGGTTCTGTTTTACATATGAAGTCAAAACTCTAAGGGCTTCTTTTATTTATGTGTAGTGGTATGGTTGTTTCCATAGAAAACAATGTGCTGTGTTAACTTTAAAAATAGAAACTGCATGATGTTTTTAGCTCATGCAGTTCAATGTAATAACACTTGGTTAGTGAATTACGAAGTCCATTAGTGAATTATTAATATAATAAATTTTACAATAACATTAAAAAAAAAAAAAAAATTAACTTCGACTCTCTCCCTATCGTCTCTCCATTTTCTGGAACCAAAAAAACTTCACCGGCTCCGTCGTCTCTCCTCTTCTCCGGATCGCTCTGAAATCCTTAGAATTCACCGGCTCCGCCGTCTCTCCCCTTCTCCGCATCGCTCTCAAGTCCCTATAATTCATATTCCCGCACGTGTTTGCTCTTCTGATTATCCCAGTTTAGTGCAACTCATGTGCAACTCAACCAAGAGATTATATAATAAGATTCTTGTAACAGTTTTGCTATCTAGCGACAGTTTTATTCTTGAAGTTTTTAGTAACTTCTTTGTTCACTTTGTTACTATTTACGGTAAGTTTAGTTTCATGCCTTCAAAAGCCACAAAATCAAAAGTCTATAAAAAAATCAATTAAAACGATCATATTATTTTTTTAAGAATATCTACATTAGTACTTACGTATCTTGAGAATATAGTCTACAAAACCGTTACAAGAAATCAGTATTTACCCGTAATAAAATATCTTGAGAATATAGTCTACAAAACCGTTACAAGAAATCAGTATTTACCCGTAATAAAATATATTGAGGATATCTAAACTAATAATCGAATACTAAATTTCATTACCTATATTAGTGGAAGATTCATCAATGGCCAGTAACCAGACCTATTTACTGAAGTGTTTCATTGAACATAGGCGTCTACGTCCTCCTAGTGCTCGTTGCTGTAAAGGAACCTCTCCTTTGTTCTGAGTTTCTCATAAAACATGAAGAATCTATTTATTGACATTGTCTATTGCTTCTGATAGTAATGGGGACTGCTCAAAATATCCAAAGAGATGATACTGCATCATCACAACTGCCTCAAGAAGCTACTAATGCTAATGCTGCTGGTGTCCTAATTCATGTGGCCTCTCAGCAGCCAGATTCTCCCCGTACTTAAACTACTCTTTTTTTTTTTTTTTTTTCTGTTTCTCTGAGTGTGCCTTGCTGAATATCAAACCTAGTGTTTTTATTTGTTCTCTCTTTGTGTTTGGCTTCTTTTAGCAACCGAATTTTGGGAGCAGTTGATGATAGCTTTGGGTCAGATTCAGAGTAATACGGAACAGTTGCTCAAACTAATAACTGATGCTCAAACTAATGTTGTGGGATCCCGCAAGAGGACGAGACAAGAGCGGGCGCAAGTGAGAGATGACAAAGAAGAAGCAGAGACTCTACGGGATCAGAATCAACCACGCAAGGACTAGATGACTGACAGGGCGATCCATGATGATGATGAAATTTTCACATTAGCATGTAGAGATTTAGCGATATAAGTTTTATACATAAAATCTTACAATATGTATAAATTAAGATTCCATGATTAATAAGATTCTACTATTTTAATACTATTGCATTAAAAAAAATCTTAAGCTCAGCAATTGCTATCAAATTATATAAGTTTGATGAACTTCTCCTTCTACCGTTTGATAACGTGTGACTTACGGAAAGTTTGATGTTTATATTTTTTGTACATGTCTGCCCAATAAGAAATAATGGGCCGAGACTTAAGCAGCCCACCAAATTACAGTCAACAGATATATATTGAAGATTCCACACCGAAACAAACTAATTCGCGCGCTCTGTTTCCGTTAAACCCAGAATCGCTCCCAAACTTGCAACTCTGGAGGAGAAACATGTAACACGCTGAGAAGATATTATTATTCTATTAAATCTCAATCACCATTTGTTTTGTGGCAAAATCCAACCAAAAAAAGATGTACATGTGTATCTAATTCTGAAATGTACATGTTCGAATCAGTCCAGCACTTGCTATCTCCCGAACTAACATATACGTTCTTGTATATGTGTATATACGTAGTTTATACGTTCTACTTGAAATTCTCATGTTACTTGAAATGTACATGTTCGAATCAAATGTATATGTGTATATACGTAGTTTATACGTTCTACTTTCTGCATAGTTGCTTTTGCTATAATGCTATCTCCCGAACTAGCTTTCTAACATTTTCACAAAATTGGTTTTCCACTTTTTACTTTTGATTCTGTTTTACATATGAACTCAAAACTCAGAAGGCTTCTTTTATTTATCTGCATTGTTACACGTTACAGCGGCGCCTAGTTTATATGTGAGGGGGAAGAAAGGTGGGTTATTTCCATAGAAAACGATGTGCTTTTTTAACTTTAAAAATAGAAACTGCGTGATGTTTTAGCTCATGCAGCTCAATGTAATAACAGTTGCGACTTGCGACCAAGTCAAGTCAGCCTTTTTTGTTTGACTTTCTTTTTCCTCTTTTTAGTTCGCAATAATGATGACAATGCTGATTAAGAGTTAAAACCATAATAAACAACACTATTTGGCTTTGATATTCCAAGTATAAGTTTAAAATGATATAAGCTTCTGCGAACATTTTGTTTTGTATTTCTAAAATTAAGCAAAATGTTTAGTTCGTGCTTCTTTTTTGTTTTAACATCTGTTCGAGCTTCTATATTCAGATTTGTTGATGTTTTGTTTGCTAATTTTGTTCTTTCAATTTGGACAACAACTTATTACAGTACGTGGTTGAAAAGAAATACAAAATAACAAAAATAAGTTTCATTACTTAGTTAACTTACAGATTTAACGTATTCTTTTAATTTTAATATTGTAAGCATAACTTTTTGCTTATTCAAATCGAAAGATGATATAAAATTGATTTGTTCTCAGAGATAAGCATGAAGTGACGTACCGAACTTAAGCTGTGAATCTACAAGATTTTATGACTGGTAACTAAAAACTGCCCAATCATTCAGTCAGTCATTTACACGGATTACGAATTAAATTTAAAACATAAGATGGTCACGATATTTGATGGCTACGAGCTTTTTTCTAGAAGGATGTGAATACCAAAGTAGGACCTACGAACGATGGCTAAGAAGTACAGAGAAAGTTCTTTTTTTTGTTGAAAGTTTGGTAATTCATGTAATTTTGTCCTGCCCATCACATTTCATTTTCATGTTTCAAATTCATGGTCTTCCTTTGTGTGGCAAATTGGCATTAAAGTTTGTAAAACAGTTAAGTTTAGTAGATAAACAGTTATAGGAACAGTCGTAAAGGTAGCTAAACCAGATGAAAATATAAACTATGCACATAATCATTTAAAAATGTTCAAAGTTGATTAAGTTGGAAAGAAAGAAAAGATACCTTTCATATATGTTTAAGAGTTTAAGACCATGTCAACTTGTCAGCAGCCTCTCCAGAGTCGCCGAAGACCAAACTATTATGACTTCCAGTAGCCTCCTCAACCGGAAAATTCCATCTGTCCACGTGGCACTCTATAAATGACATATCTCCCGACTGGTCCCACCATCCTCCTCTCTTCTTCTCCAAGACTTACTTTTCAAATCTCTCTATAAACTTCAGAAATTAGAATATCCTCCAATAAAATCGAATTCAATTTAAACAGAAAGATAAAAACTTTCTGGGTTACCAGAAGCATGAAGAGCTCCCATAATACAGATCTTCTCGCCGGTTTACCGTTTTTCCGGTTGACCGGAAAGCATAACGCTTTACCAGCTACAATCTTGTTTATACTACTATCCGGATCGGAGCTAGCCGCGGGTCAATCGAATCAACCCGGAGACACTAGAAATGATCCCTACGGTTACGGCGGCAGGCTTAGTCCCGCCATGGCTGTGGTCGTTGTAGTCGTAATCGCTCTTCTCTTCTTCATGGGTTTCTTCACCGTCTACATCCGCCACTGCACGGGCGCAACCGACGGCAGCGTTATCCCCAGGGTGGCAGCGAGGAGAGTGACGAACGCGGCGGTGGCTCGTGGGCTCGACGCTTCGGTGGTCGAGACGTTTCCGACTTTCATTTACTCGGAGGTGAAGTCGCAGAAGATCGGAAAAGGTGCGTTGGAGTGTGCGATTTGCCTGAACGAGTTCGAGGACGACGAAACGCTGCGTTTGCTTCCTAAGTGCGATCACGTGTTCCACCCTCACTGCATCGGCGCGTGGCTCGAGGGTCACGTGACTTGTCCGGTTTGCCGTACGAATCTTTCCGAACAGCAGAAGCCGGCTGATCCGATCGAACCGGTGATAGTATCGGAAACGGATCTAGAGGCGCAGCAATCTGCGATTCCCGAACCGGCGATGGAGCTTGATGGGAGTGTACCACGTGTCATATTGTCGAGGTCGCACACGACGGGGCATTCGGTGGTATTACCTGGAGAATGTACCGAGCGGTTTACGCTCAGATTACCGGAAGACTTGAGGAAGAAGATAATGGTGAATTGGAAGATAAACCGGTCGAATAGTCTTTTGGTTTTACCGAGAGGAGGGAGCTCGAGGAGTGGTAAAATGGTTGACCAGTCAAGAGCTCGGTCGGACCGGTGGTTATTCCGGAAAACACCGTCGTTTCTGTGGCGGAACCGGGACGATGGTTCGATTAGGCTAGGTGGTACCGGCAGCATTAGAGCTAAAGGAGTAACAAGTCCGACCGGTGACTCGGTACGAGCAGACCGGTGGGCTTTTCTTAGAAACCCATCGTTTCTGTGGAGAAATGCGCCGGTTCCTTCGCCGAGACTTGGAGTCAATGAGGACGGTGAAGGAACATCGTCGGTTCAACAAACCGGTACAGCTGGTGTAGCTAACGGTTCCGTTAGGCTACCGGTTTAGTTTGGTTCTCTCTTATCTACTTTTCCAATTTTTTAAGTGTTTTTGTGCATTGTTCATAAACACGTAGTAGATTTGTACGCTCGCTATTCTTTAATTTTCTCTTTCTTTTTTCTTGTAAGATATTAAATGTCAATCCCATGGACTAGGAGATTGTTTTATTTTTGTAAATGACTTTCTTCACCGATCAATAAAAAGTACGAATATTGGTGGAGATTCCCCTCTCCATGGCTCCATCTTTCAGAAAAACGAAGTCTTGTTTATCTTATTTTGTTGACCACGAATATACAGAAGATAGAGAATATAATGTTATATATCCTCTATAGCTGTAATAGAATCTATTGTCTAAAAGATTTTATATTCATGTATTATCAATAAATATTAGTTAGTCAAATACAATTTTGTTTTGGAAACGTTCTTGCACTCGTTATTATGATGCAAGCTTTTCCAATGTTCCAATATGTTATAGTTTGGTATGTTCGTCATACATCCGAAATACCTAATACATAGGAATAAGTCACGGATATAAAATTTATGTTTGTGAATAGTTTGAGATGCCCGATTGTGAATAACGAATCCATTTTTTATAAATCATTAAAACCATACATATGATTATTATTTTATTTTTAACGAATTTCTGAAGTGTGAGAATCAAATTTGTTAGAAGTGAATTTTCTTTCTCTAGAGTGTTGTAGACGGATAGTAATGAAAAGAATAAAGTTATCCGACAAATAAATAATCATCTGATGATCTGAACTTCGAAGTATGAGATACATTCTTAACATCTTTACTCGAGATCCCAAAACTATAGTTTGAAAAGATAAAGTATAAAACATGGCAACTTCATTATGCACATCTAGATAGACCACGACCGTTGACAATAAAATGAACGACCACGACTAGGTCGCCTGAATCGCCTTTATACGGAATACGGATCCAAAGGTTAATTTACTTGTTCAACAATTCGAACAGCGACGTAGGAAGATGCCATTAGCCCATTAGTCAAATGGTGTTCTAGAAAGATAGTGTGTAAATTATCACAACCCGTGGCATTGAATATACAGCAATTATAAAACTAATCATCAAAAACACTAAAGAAGAAACGTAAACGCAAACAAACATATACATACAAAAACCGTTTGTTGCCTACATTTATTACACAATGACGTGACATGTAAGATGATGGTATCATTGTTTACTATCCCCGGAAAATAAGGTTTCAGGTGCTGAGATTTTTGGTGTGAGTGATGAGGCGTGAACCAATCAATCATTTTCTGAACCGATAATGCGAGACCTAACCAATTAATCATTTTCTAAACCGGTAATATTGTAAACCGGAATGCCGGTTCTATCACACTAGTGTTGTTCTACGTGTCTTGGCCAATCACATTATAGCGTGCGTCGATATCAATAAAGGAAATAAATAATTACGGAAGAATTAATAATTCTAAACAAGGAAAGTAAAATAAACAAAAGCGTTCTTCTTCTTCTTCTTCCTCCGTCCGGCGAAAGGTTTGTGGAACGGAGACGGATCGAGACTACCTCCGGCGGACGAAAAACCCATAGACAAGTGTTAAAGAGGATGCATTCGTTTGGTTACAGAGCGAATGCTCTGCTCACATTTGCCGTCACGATACTGGCCTTCATTTGCGCGATTGCGTCCTTCTCTGATAACTTCAGTAACCAAACTCCCTCTGCTCAGATCCAGGTATGCGTTTTATTAAACGCAGAGATCTCTTAGTGTGTCCTTGATCTATCAGTGCATGCTTTGTTTTGGGATATGTCAAGTTGTTTAGATGATTAGATCCCTAATTTTGTTGGATTATGGTGTCGCGGTGTGGAATTTATAAAGGTTGAGCTTTTTTTTGGGAAATAGAAGGATAATTCTGGAAATTTGTTCTATGGATTCTAAGAATTGATTTTGAGCCTGAATTCTTATTTGGGTTATTGCTTGGGCTGTGGTTGCAGATATTGAATATCAATTGGTTTCAGAAGCAACCCCATGGAAATGATGAGGTAAGGTTTCGTTGTTTTGCCTCTCCTTAGCGTATGTTCTTCATTACGTGTCTCTATGAGTTGCTAGTTTGAGCTCACATGCTGGAGTGTACTCTCTAGTCACTCTTGGTGGGTAAATTGATGCTTATGTGATCATTAACTCCTATTTTAGCTATCCAAAGCGTACCCATTATGAAATTTAAGTTCAGGTTTACTAAACTCTTAGGAATTTGTTTCGTATCATATCGATCTTTAGTTTTTGCAAGAAATTATAATTCTTTTTCTACCTCGCCTGTCTTTAGAGAAGATTTCCTTCAAAGCAGGAAGCTAAGATTTTTTGCCTATTTACTTGACGGTTGAATAAGGTCATGAGTTTCATGACCTCTTACTTCTGTACTTATTGGTATGAGACTTATTGAGATTTGAGAGTCACCTTAAGCTTAGTATCCATTTTGTTTCATGAGTTTGATGGCCATAGGGGTTTGGATGCGACTGTTTCTTTGAACATTTACTCTTGAAAGTCATATTGAACTTAGATTGTCGAGATTGATTAAAAATTCCCTAGACGTGATATTGGTATATACTTGATACTATTCAGCTTATACTGTACATACATCAGTAGTTTTATTCTTCTTTATTAAATCTTCAGACTGCCGTTTACCTGCTGCATATATTCTAACTGCTTAGCATTTTACATGTTCTTAGGTCAGCTTGACACTGAACATAACAGCAGACTTGCAGTCTTTATTTACTTGGAACACAAAGCAGGTATAGCCTTCAAAAGTACACCAATCCATCTCTTTTGCTATATATCCTGAAGTCTTGCCAGTGTTATACTGTCATGTTGGTAGTTGGTACCTCATTTTGTATGATCTGGTGAACAAAAAACCAACTCAAACGAAAATATTTTCAGGTATTCGCTTTTGTAGCTGCAGAGTATAAAACTTCGAAGAATTCCCTGAATCAGGTATAGATCTACTTTGCTTCAAATGCTTTAAAGACTACTGCTCTTCATGCAGTGTCGAGGCTAACAACTTATGTAATTTTAGTGTTCCTGCCTTCTTCATGCCTGTGATGCTATGAACTTTGACATTTACCGCAGGTCTCTCTATGGGATGCCATAATACCTGAGAAAGAGCATGCCAAATTCTGGATACAAATCTCAAACAAGTACCGTTTCATTGATCAGGTACATGAAGCAGATTCTCTTTAAACATTCATCCTTCCATGTGTGTTTTCTTCAGAAGAGTATTTGATTGTGGTCAATGGGATCTTTCTAGGGACACAACCTCCGAGGGAAAGACTTCAACTTGACACTGCACTGGCATGTCATGCCCAAGACTGGCAAGATGTTTGCTGACAAAATAGTTATGTCTGGCTATCGTTTACCCAATGCATACAGATGATTATGAAGAACCTCTTGCATCATCATCTATGGTTAACAAAAGTTCTTTAAACTAGGAAAGAAGAGAGCTATGTTTCAGGTGTTTCTGCTAGACTTGAGACGCCTCAATTGCTGATCTGTGTACTTGACATTGTTATAGAATGAATTTACGAGGCAACAACTTATGAGATTATCTGTTTGCTCATCATCAATAGTAACAAAATTGGAAACACTCATCGTCAAAGTTAGGATTTATATCTCAGAAACAACAGAATCTTGGAGAAAGAAATAACAAGAAACAAACCTATGATCTTACTTTCTTATTAAACTCTTCTACGACTTCTCCTTTTACTAAGAAGAACTGAAGAACGAGACCTAATTCTTGAAGCCAGTTTCACGAAACCATCTCTCTTGAATCCAAAAGCCAGAGAAGCAACGAAACAGAGGAACCCAAAGACCAGATATCTAGTAGCCTCTCTCTTCAAATCTCTCACCATAGTGAAACCAAACAAGCAAATCCCTAAAGCCTTCAAAACCTCATCACTCTTTATCTCTTTCCCAGAGATTTTGCAGAAACCATAAATCCATAGAATTACACAGACGAAAATCAAAATTGGTATTCTGTTCCGTTTCCTTCTCCACCCACCAAATCCTCCCCATCCTCTCCAAAACCCTCCTCCCCTTCCTCCTCCTCCTCCTCCATCTACGCCGCCCAAATCAGCAATGACAAGATCCAACGGCTCCGGTAAAATCTGGAGATTAGGAGGCAGAAAAGTCAGAGACTTTAAGAAGAACCTCGCAATGTTTTGGTACCCGACTCTTTTCTTCCTTCGCCTTGCACAAACAACCAAACTTTCGAAGTGGGTTCGATGTGAAATCGAAGGTAGCGACGCAGAGACTCGAGGAAGTGATGAAAATGACGAGTACTGTGGACTAAGCAAATGAAAACCGTTGAGATGCGATGTGAGATGAAGAGTCATCACTCAGCCAGCGCAATTTTTGTATTCTTGTTTCTCTCGTGTAAATCGAGACGAAAGAAATAGCCGTTGCTGAATGCGTATGGGATTTGATTGTGTGTGTCTTCTTCGATCTTCTTCTTCTTCTTATACACGTTTGTAAAATACAGAACCAAATCAAACCGAAACCGAATATAAAAAGACTGATCAAAATTCGAACTCAAACTGAACATTTTCTTCAAAATTTCTCACATTAAGAATGTAATCAAACAAATCAAGTTTAAACTGAGGTTGAATCATAGCCAAATTGAGTCGAATTTTAGATTCGTATATTTTTAAAAACCGGAAAAGTTAAACCACGATCGGTTTTGTTCTTTATACATGTTTAATTAGATACGGTGCTGCTCGTGCGTGGCTGGCTACCGACAGACATTCTCCATCTTCTAGGGTTCTTTTCTCTGCAATTCCAGGTACACGCTCTTTCTGGCTATTGAATTTCTGCTGTAGGTTTGATTTGATTTGAGTTTTTTTGCTGAAATGTTACTGCGTGAGCTAAGAAATGAAGTCAAGAAAGAATTTTGAGTTTCATTTTCCCACTTCTTAGCTTCTGTTCGATCTGAGCTCCTTTGATCCGATTCACATTTTCGTTTTAAACTATAAAGTTTCGG